GATAGATCAGATTGGTACCCCTAAAAAAAATGTTTACTTTGGATTTGCCTCAGTTGACAATGTTTTCTCGGGGTAACAATTAATCTGCTCTATCTCCATCTCAGCTATGTGTTATTTATATAATAATGATCAAATTATATGTCTAAGTGATGATATATCTAGCAATATTCGTCAAAGATAGTCTCAAATCTTCAATGGTCAGCCATGTCTTAAGACGTGTAAGAGGACCATACCTTTCCTACAGAACAGTTTTCACACTAAGATTCATAAATAATTCTAAGTATAAATTTTTCAAATTGCCATTCTGTGTAAATTGGAAGTCAAACTTAACATCAAACCAAAGAATTCAATTTGGCTTTTTGATATAATATACATTTATGTTTCAAAACTGTTATTACTTACATTTATGTAGAGTAAAGAAATAGTTAAAGGTAAGAAACTAACTTTTGAATTTGTTTAATTCATTGGTAAAAAGTGCGATTTTAGCATACATGTACACCACTATTAAATTGATAGAGTAATTATACAGATTATTAATTATAACACAGATTTGTTTATAATATAGCAATGATGAACCTTTTTAGCTCACCTGGCCCAAAGGACCAAGTGAGCTTTTCTCATCACTTGGTGTCCGTCGTCCGTAAACTTTTACAAAAATCTTCTCCTCTGAAACTACTGGGCCAAATTTGACCAAACTTGGCCACAATCATCATTGGGGTATCGAGTTTAAAAAATGTGTCCGGTGACCGGGCCAACCCACTAAGATGGCCGCCATGGCTAAAAATAGAACATATGGGGTAAAATGTAGATTTTGGCTTATATCTCTGAAATCAAAGCATTAAGAGCAAATCAGACACGGGATTAAATTGTTTATCAGGTCAAGATCTATCTGCCCTGAAATTTTCAGATGAATCTGACAACCCGTTGTTGGGTTGCTGCTCCTGAATTGGTAATTTTTGCTCCTGAATTGGTAATTTTAAGAAAATTTTGCCGTTTTTGGTTATTATCTTGAATATTATTATAGATAGAGATAAACTGTAAACAGCAATAATGTTCAGCAAAGTAAGATCTACAAATAAGTTAACTTGACCAAAATGGTCAGTTGACCCCTTAAGGAGTTATTGCCCTTTATAGTCAATTTTTAACCATTTTTCGTAAATTTTTGTAATCTTTTACAAAAATCTTCTCCTCTGAAACTACTAAGACAAATTAAACAAACTTGTCCACAATCATCATTAGGATATGTAGTTTAAAAAATGTGTCCAATGACCCCGCCTGTGAACCAAGATGGCCAACATCGTCATGGCTAAAAAATAGTACATAGGGTAAAATGCAATTTTTGGCTCATATCTCTGAAACCAAAGCATTAAGAGCAAATCTGACAAAGGATACAATTGTTCATTAGGTCAAGATCTATCTGCCCTGAAATTTTCAGACCAATCAGGCAACATGTTGTTGGGTTGCTGCCCCTGAATTGGTAATTTTAAGAAAATTTTGCAGCTTTTGGTTATTATCTTGAATATTATTATAGATAGAGATAAACTGTAAACAGCAATAATGTACAGCAAAGTAAGATCTACAAATAAGTCAACTTGACCAAAATGGTCAATTGACCCCTTAAGGAGTTATTGCCCTTTATATTCAATTTTTTTACAATTTTCATAAATTTTGTAAATTTTTGTAAATTTTTACAAAATATTTTCCACTGTAACTACTGGGCCAAGTTCATTATAGATAGAGATAATTGTAAGGAGCAAGAATGTTCAGTAAAGTAAGATCTACAAACACATCACCATCACCAAAATACAATATTGTCATGAATCCATCTGTGTCCTTTGTTTAATATGCACATAGACCAAGGTGAGCGACACAGGCTCTTTAGAGCCTCTAGTTATTTATACAATTGTGGGTGACATGTCCCTTTAGGGTGTTTATTTACCAATATGATTGGAAGCAATTAACTATTCATTCATTGATGCTACACTAAAATAGATTGCACTTTTTAAACTGTTGATTGATTCAAACAAAGCTGAGAAATAATCAAAGTATCCCAAAATGTGCAAAACTTAATTATATTCTGCCTACGTCATGTATATGAAAGTATTGGAGAAAGGGAAGAAATTGACTGAAAAGGAGTCTCTCCATCATATTGAACTAGTGGTCAGTAACTGCGATTACTCTCAGATCTGTACTCAGTGTCTTTTTGTTGTGGGGAAGTATAAGTACCCTGCCATGTCCACTCTGTGTTTTTGTTAGAAGTATTTCTGCTTTGTATCTATCTAATGAGTTAAGTCCTTTTTAACTGATTTTTATAGTTTGTTCTTATGTTGTACGTATACTGGTACAACTCTGTCCCAGGTTGGGGGAGGGTTGGTGCCTTCTAACTAATGTTTAACCTCGCCACATTCTGTAGGTGCCTGTCCCAAGTCAGGAGCCTTTAATTCAGTGGTTGTCGTTTGTCGCTGCATATATCATATTTGTTTTTCATTTATTATTTTGTACATAAATCAGGCCGTTAGTTTTCTTGTTTGAATTGGTTTACATTTGTCATTTTGGGGCCTTTTATAGCTGACTATGCAGTATGGGTTTTACTCATTGTTGAAGGCAGTACAGTGACCTATACCTATATTTGTTAATTTCTGTGCCATTTGGTTTCTTGTGGCGAGTTGTCTCATTCAGGCAATCATACCACATCTTCTATTGTTATATCTCTATATTTATTTGTATTAAAATATTTATACATGTACAATGTCATTTAGCAATAGTAAGTTGAAATTATAAAAGCTTAAAAAATGATATTGCCTAGTATTACCCATTTCTGTGAATATTGCCGCAGACCGTGAAACTACCTTATTATTGTGCATGTTGTGTACAATATACTGGTATACCAGTATTGTAATATTTTTTAATTTTTTTTGCAATACTGGAACAAAATGTTATTCCAGTATTGTGATCGCAAAGTACAGGAGATCCTAAATATCTTCTAAAACATGAATACAATAAACTTAAAAATTCTTAAAACTTGAAGTAATACATGTATTAATAACAGTGGAATTTTGAAATAATGTTTCGTTATTTATAAGCCATGTAAGCAGTTAGTTTGGCCAAAATTTGTCAAAATAAGCTAAAAAACATTGCTGATTTATTATTGAATTGCAAGTGAATAATTCTACCTCATGTGAATTCGTATTCATGTGAACTTCAATTTAATTCCTTATCTGGAGATGGGTTAGGCATGTACTACAGCTAATAAAAGGAAAAGAATGTCAACATAGAAAGTGAAACAAGGGTGAACCATTTGGTTAATCTCACACCACTCACTCTCAGAGTTCCTTATTCAACCTCTCCCTCTTAGATTTCCTTATTCAACCTTTCTCACTCACACTCAGACTTCCTTATTCAACCTCTCTCACTTACTCTCAGACTTCCTTATTCAACCTCTCTCACTCACTCTCAAACTTCCTTATTCAACCTCTCTCACTCATTGTCAGACTTCCTTATTTAACCTCTCTCACTCTATCTCAGACTTCCTTATTCAACTCTCTCACTCACTCTCAGACTTCCTTATTCAACCTCTCTCACTCACTCTCAGATTTCCTCATTCAACCTCTCACTCGCTCTCAGGCTTCCTTATTCAACCTCTCTCACTCACTCTCAGACTTCCTTATAAGCTTGTTCAACCTCTCCCTCTCACTCTCATACTTCCTTATTCAACCTCTCTCACTCACTCTCAGGCTTCCTTATTAATTCTCTCCAACTCCACTCACTCTCAGAGTTCCTTATTCAACCTCTCCCACTCACTCTCAGAATTCCTTATTCAACCTCTCTCACTCACTCTCAGACTTCTTTATTCAACCTCTCTCACTCTATCTCAGATTTCCTTATTCAACCTCTCCCACTCAACTCACTCTCAGAATTCCTTATTCAACCTCTCTCTCTCGCTCTCAGACTTCCTTATTCAACTTCTCTCACTTGCTTTCAGACGTCCTTATTCAACCCTCTCACTCGCTCTCAGATTTCATTTTTCAACCTCTCTCACGCCACTCAATCTCAGAGTTTCTTATTCAACCTCTCTCTAAGATCTCCTTATTCAACCTCTCTCAATCTCTCTCAGACTTCTTTATTCAACCTCTCTCACTCACTCTCAGACTTCCTTCTTCAACCTCTCTCACTCGCTCTCGCACTTCCTTATTCCACCTCTCCCAAACACTCTCAGACTTCCTTATTCAACCTCTCTCACTCACTCTCAGACTTCCTTATTCAACCTTTTTCACTCACTCTCAGACTTCCTTATTCAAACTCACTTACTCTCTCATTCATTATGTCCCTCTCTATGCCAAGATTAATTTGCTGAGGAATGATACAGTCCAAGAGGTTCATAATCATATGTGCTTGTAAAAAAGTTCTCGGAAACAGGCAAGTGTTGGATGTGGTAAATTGTAACTTTTATTATCTGTTTCCCAAGGGAATATTTATAAAAATGGTTAAATAATTATTTATTATTATGCATGCAAATGCACTTCATGTCAGTTCCCCAGTTGACCTTTTTAGAGCAACTTTCATCTATGAGTTTATGTTGTGAGCTCACTAAGTCACTTACAGACTTCATCTGATTGAAATATACATGTAATTGAAGGGAAATGTGCAGTGGGTTAGATTCTATTATAGTAAATAAACTCAACATTATTATGTACATGTACATGATGTACCAGGCTGTAGTACAGATTATGCAGAAAATCAAAATTTATTGAGATTTTTGTGTAGGTTTAAACATTTACACTTTAGAAAAGTAAACATAATTAACACATGTATCATGATGAAGTAAATCGTGATCAAAGGAACAAAAACAATTTAACATAGAAATGACAGGAAGATATATGGACAATAAACTTTAAAATTATTTATTCTATAAATATAACTTGAGTCTGTTGATTTAAAGACCTGATATTGACATTAACAGTTCATAAAATGTGACTTTAATTTATCTTTACCAATTTTAGATCCTGAATATAAGGTAGATAAGAATTGGATTAGACACTTTAGATCTTTGGTTTGGAACTATTCAAAACAAACTACCTTGATAAGATTTTTGGAAAGATTCACGAGGTAAGCTCGATCTACATGAATTTGACATATATATACAAGTGAACTACATGTACAAATTAAAATGTACATGTTCTGACTAATTATTGACTACTTGACTAATTAATGTTCCTTTTCTCAGGATATATTTTTATCAACCAATGAATTGCTCCACAATAATCTTTCTTGTGTATATTGAATGTTCAGCTAGAGTAGCTTCCTGTTAAATAAATCAAGGCTGTGGATTCTTTTGCAGTTATACAGTAATGCAATTTAGTTGCTCTGACCTATATTCCATGCTTGAATGACTATTATTATAGCTAAGATATGGTATTTAGAATTTTTCAGAACCACTAAATCAACTACCAGGGGTATGTACAAAAATACAGTTTTTCCTTAATCCATGAAATTTTCCTCTCAAAAATGGGAATAGTTATGTTATCTGTACTCTAAGGACAATGAACATGATGAAGGACAATGAAGGACAATGAAGGACATGAAGGACAATGAAGGACAATGAAGGACAATGAAGGACATGAAGGACAATGAAGGACAATGAAGGACAATGAAGGACATGAAGGACATGAAGGACATGAAGGACAATGAAGGACATGAAGGACATGACGGACAATGAAGGACCATGAAGGACATGAAGGACAATGAAGGACAATGAAGGACATGACAGACAATGAAGGACCATGAAGGACCATGAAGGACATGAAGGACAATGAAGGACATGACAATGAAGGACCATGAAGGACATGAAGGACATGAAGGACAATGAAGGACATGAAGGACAATGAAGGACAATGAAGGACATGAAGGACATGAAGGACAATGAAGGACATGAAAGACATGAAGGACAATGAAGGACAATGAAGGACATGAAGGACAATGAAGGACAATGAAGGACATGAAGGACAATGAAGGACATGAAGGACAATGAAGGACAATGAAGGACATGAAGGACATGAAGGACAATGAAGGAATGCTAGAAAGTTCCTGGGAGATTTTCCAAAAATTTGTTTTTGGTGGAAAAGTTTTGTTTCCCAATTTCTCATAAGAAATGTATGACAGAATGTATGAAATTCAATGTAAAAATGTAACAAATTTCTGTAGGAAAAACTATTATTACTTAGTGCATCGTAGTATTTAGCTTAAAGTGTATATTTCAAGCATGATGAGATGTCTTATTAAATGAGATAAATGGCTGCGTTACTTGGCAACAGTTTTTTAATGTATTGATAAGAATGATTCAGAAAAATATTAAAAGAGCTACAAGCTGTTTGTGAAAATTTTAGATTATGCTCATGCTTAAGGAAAACTGAATTACACAAAATTCTCTGTATAAAAAAGATTAAGGTTTGTCTTTTTTTTTTTTACAGAACTATGACACCCTAGACATGCTAGACGAAGTATTAGCACATATTTGATACTAAAGTTGTCTACAAAAATCAAAATGGCAGAAAATGGAAATCCTGAGTATGTGTGTACACTGAGTCCAGAACTTGTGAAGAAAGCACAAGAAGAACTAAATGAAAAACCAGAATGGAGAAGTCGGGATATACAAGCTCTGAGAGAAATGGTAGAAAAGGAAAAAGGTATGTCATGTAAGGTAATAAAATGGAGAAGTCCAAAAAAAGGTTCTTAGAGAAATGGTACAGATTTCTACAAAAGGTAAAGGGTATCATGGGTATGTCATGTTAAACTAGAATGAAGATGTCCAGGTATATGAGGGTCTAAATGGGGTTAACAGAAAGGAGAATAATGGTAAAAAAAAATAGTGAATAGAGAAAAATGAGTGAAAGATATAAAGAATAGAGAATAATGGGGTGCAAAAGTATAAAGAATAACTCTGGAAAATTAAAGAATATGGTAATTCAATACTGATTACAGAAATGACCTCTGTACAGAATAACGGAATTGTCTAATTATAGAAATATTTGATTGTACAGTGTAAAACCATTTTGATAATTTTACAGAATAAGAGTTATTTTTAAAGATATTTAAAGCAAAATGCTCTAAAAATTTAAAGAATACAGAAATTAAGGACCCCCCCCCCCCCCCCCCAACCAGACCCTCTTATATATAGAAAAAAAGTTTCTTTGCAGATTCTTGATTCTATGGTTTTAACGTTTGCTGCAAACAATGCTTATAGAAAAAACAATTTTTGTGAAACACAGAAATTTATAGTTAACTTCTAACAATGAAAATCATGAAAAAGTAGAACATTATAGAAATAATAAATCTACAAAATATGTTATTTACAGCTTTACAAAATGGTACATAATTTACATTATAATACTTCATGTCAAAATGCCAGATTTTGATTGGTTAATACCAGGGAGACAATTTACTCTATCCCATGGCAAATACTCTATTACCCTTCACGGAGACGCTTGATCAAATGTGCGCTTTAATAAATATGGATGGTTGTTATGTACAAGATGTCATAGTTTTTCACTTTGAATTTGAAATATAATCGAGAGTAACATGAGTAATAACAGAACATTCAGTATGATAAATTAAAAAACACTAAAGATTGTTACCCCTCGAAAAAACATTGTCAACCTTGCCTTCGCCTCAGTTGACAATGTTTTCTCGGGGTAACAATCTGCTCTTTCACCCTCTCAGCTATGTGTTTATATAATGTACATGAATTTACAAAATATATTGTCTTCTATCTGCAGTGAATATCGTAGAAAATTGGTATTCATAGAAATGAACCCACAGTAATTATCATTCATAATCATATTTTATGTTTCAGCTTTAAGAATTCGTACAGATGACGCTTTCTTGTTACGTTTCTTACGAGCCAAAAAGTTTGACTACGAAAGAGCATTTAATCTGATTATGACGCATTTCAAAATGAGAATCGATAGTGCAGAACTATTTGAAGGGCTGCGTCCTTCTGCTGTAAAGCAAGTTTTAGAGGCTGGCGTAACTGGCGTTCTGCCTCACAGGGACAAACTCGGACGAAGGGTGATTGTATTAAGGCCAGGTCAGTGTATACATCTGCATTCTGTATTCTTGAAATGAAATAAAGAAACGAAAAATAAATTCTTTTGTTCAAAAAATTTCTCCAGATTATTTATTGCTAGATAATATAAATTATTTAATGACAGAAATTATGACAGCTAATCTTTCTTTCGCTGCCTCAATAGGCAGGCAGCAATTTTCCAAGACATAATTTAATTCAATTAAAGAAAATCCTGAATTTTTATCAACAAATGCAGCTCATATAATGCATGCTATCATTTAACTGTTTATCTTGTTCTAAAATCATGCAATTTCATTGATGGTAATATATTCATCAGCTGCTCAGTGGACCTACTTTTCTCAGAAAAAAAACAGCCTGTGAAATTGGTAGTCGGCAGGCCTCTGTTAACATAAATTATGTGTATACCATCATGAACATGTAATTTATTATTTGACTCTTGGTTTTTTTCAGGTAAATGGAATCCAAGCAAATTTGGAATCAATGATGTATTCAGAACCAATTTTCTTACTATGTCAAGACTGATAGAGGTATTATTTTTGTTTAATATAAAGCTACATTATAAAACGCTAATACATAGGCCAAACAAATACAGTTCTTTTTCCTGCTTCCCTATATAGCTACCTACCCCAAATTTTCATGATCCATTTTTGGTTAAGGACCGTCAAACACTAGGATTTTTGGTTCAGCACTGTTTAAGTACAGATCATTTCTTCTTTACGTGCTATATAGTGTGTAAAATATTTGCAGAAAAATATCCTCATTTTACCTATACCGCCAACCCTTTTTTCAATAAGGCTTGAAACAGGTACTGTATATTCAGAAATTTGTAACGGGCCAATTTTCATAAAAATATAAACTCACATTTTCAGCTTTGAAAGCATTTGTATGCATCTTTTCTTGAAATGCAATAATAACCAATCTCACATTTTTGTCAGTTGTTTGAAAATGGCAATAATAAATGAACACAAGAATGTATGAATTTACAGTATACATATATATTTGTTTTGCTGAGGGGCATATTCTGAAATAAGGGGTGCAAAATCTGCTTTGCAGGTGATCTCCAATATTAAAATAAGGACATGTGGTATCATTGCCAATGAGACAATTATCCACCAGAGTACAAATGATGTGAATGAAAACAACTATAGGTCAGCCTTCAACAATGAGCTAAACCTGTGTTTGTATACTGTTTTGACTTAGAATGAGTAATTTTAATTTTTTTTTTGCTATTAAGAACAAGTGGGTAGTAAAGTTTAATGTATTTAAGCCTTACATAATTCATAAAATGTAGATACATGTACTAAGGGTAGATGTACTTTGTATACCTGTATTTTGTATTTCTGGGATTAAGTTTGCACACCATTTTTTTATACGACCGCAAAAAATTTTTTGGGATCGTATAATGGTATGATGTCGTCGTCGTCATTGTCCTAAGACACATTGGTTTTCCGGACAATAACTTTAGTTAAAGTGAATGGATCTCTATGAAATTTTTAAGAAGGTTCAATACCACAAAAGGAAGATTGGGATTGTTTTTGGGGGTGATGGTCCCAACCGTTTAGGAATTAAAGGGCCAAAAAGGGGCCAAAAACAAGCATTTTTCTAGTTTCCAGACAATAACTTGTGTGTTAGTGTATGGATCTCTCTCTGACATTGTAACACAAGGTTCCATATCACAAAGGGAAGTCTGGGATTGAGTTTGGGGTTAATTGCCCTAAACATGTAGGAATTGGCTATAGGGGCCAAAAAGGGCCAAAAACAAGCATTTTTCTAGTTTCCAGATAATAACTTGTGTTTAAGTGTATGGATCTCTCTAAAATTGTACTGCAAGGTTCCATACTACAAAGGAAAGGCTGGGATTGAGTAATGGGGTTATTGCTTCAAGGAGGGTTTCAAAAAGTTGGGGGGGGGGGGATTTTTTTTTCCAATTTATTTAGGGGATTCATATTTTTTTTTCAAAATTTGTCATATTTCGAATTTTTGAAAATTTTCAAGAAGAAATCTTCCATTGGACAGTATTGCGCAATAGATTTGAAAGATCTTTTTTAACCACATTTATTTTGTGTCAGAAACTTATATTATGTCAAAAATTTGATCACAATCCAAATTCAGACAGTATCAAGCTTGAATATTGTGTCCAAATTTGCCCCAACTCTTCAGGGTTGACCTCTGCGGTCGTATCAGGCTGCGCTCAGCGAAGCATTTTATATATTTCTAAGATGCATATTGTACAATGTTGTACACTTGTATTTTGTATATATCTAGGATGTATTTTGTACTTTATACACCTGTATTTTGTATTTCTAAGATACATGTTTATTGGTACACCTGTATTTTGTATTTCTTAGATACATGTTTATTGGTACACCTGTATTTTTGTATATCTAGGACACATGTATATTGGTACACCTGTATTTTGTATATCTAGGACACATGTTTATTGGTACACCTGTACTTTGTATTTCTAGGATACATGTATTTTGAAATACCTGTATTTGAATTTCAAGGATACATGTTTATTGGTACACCTGTATTTTATATTTCTAGGATACATCTATATTGGTACACTTGTATTTTGTACTTCTAGGATACATGTTTATTGGTTCACCTGTATTTTATATTTCTAGGATACATGTATATTGGTACACTTGTATTTTGTAATTTTTAGAATACATGTATATTGCTACACCTGTATTTTGTATTTCTAGGATACATGTATATTGGTATACCTGTATTTTGTAATTCTAGAATACATGTATATTGGAACACCTGTATTTTGTATTTCTAGGATACATGTATATTGGTACACCTGTATTTTGTAATTCTAGCATGCAGGCCAACTGATGGACGCCTCCGGGTGCGGGAATTTCTCGCTGCATTGAAGACCTGTTGGTGACCTTCTGCTGTTGTCTGTTCTATGGTCGGGTTGTTGTCTCTTTGACACATTCCCCATTTCCATTCTCAATTTTATGTATATTGGAATACCTGTATTTTGTATTTCTATGATTCATGTATATTGGTACACCTGTATTTGTTTTTCTAGGATACATGTTTATTGGTACACCTGTATTTTATACTTCTAGAATACATGTATATTGGTACACCTTTATTTTGTAATTCTAGGATACATATATATTGATACACCTGTATTTTATACTTCTAGAATACATGTATATTGGTAACACCTTTATTTTGTAATTCTAGGATACATATATATTGATACACCTGTACTTTGTAATTCTGGGATACATGTATATTGATACACCTGTATTTTGTAGGATGAGGAGACACAGATTAATGGTTTAGTAATGATGATGGATTTAGATGGTATCGGATGGGCTCATGCAAAGAGTATTTCACCATTGTATGCTCGTAAAGTCATGGGTTTAATACAGGTAAATTAAGCACCAGTTAATCAATAAACGTCTATACTCAATGCTCTACTCGCACTATATTTCCATATTTAGTGAAAAACGAAATTAGGGTCAAAACCCTTATTTAGCAAGTTATTGGAAATGTTCATTCGTTAGAAATGTGTACTAAGTCTCAAGTTGATGTGACAATAACTTCATGGTATGGTTAACTACCTTGACCAAAAATGTAATCCTCATAGGGAACGGATGGGCGAACAAATAACTGATTGACAAATTGACAGATGCACATGCCAGCAAAACATATGCTCCCCCCTTTACTATCATAGGCTGGACAAACAAATCATTCAGGTTTACATGTGAAGTATAGTAATTTGTAATTAGAAAATATTTTTTTCATTAAACATTCATACATAGTTAGATTGATATGACCAAATTGAATGATGAGAAAGGATTTGGTTGTTGTTCCTTAATTTGTATGTTATTTGGTCATCCCTACTTAACATCCAGTATCACTGCCTTATTGGTAGATTATTCTACAGTGTCTGTCTTTTCTAAAGTATTTAGGATTTGATTTGAACTGAATTACAAATGTATTTAATTTTTGAAATAATAATAAATTTTGTACTTCTTATTGATGGGTTCTAAAATTTTAATGTAATGAATACATGTATTTTGGTATTTTATGTAAGATCAAAGGCTTCAGATACAATTTTTTTTTCTTTAGTATTAAAATTTGCACAAATGAAAGGGGAAAAGAATTTGGCACTTTTACTTATGATATTGTAATATGATTAAAATTGTTCTCATTAAATTTTAGGATGCATTTCCAGCCAGATTTAAAGGTATGCATTACTTCAACGAACCAACAATCTTTGACTACATCTTTGCCATTGGTAAACAGTTCATGAAGGAGAAAACAGTTTCCAGGGTAACAATCAATTTTATTTTATTTTATTTTATTCTAAAAATAAGGGGACATGCACGTTTTGTACCCCCTCGGTTGACAATATTATGTAGACATACTTGGAAGTGGGTTAAAAGGAAGACAATTCAAGGGTTAACTGCACCATACTTTTTTATACAGTCCATGGAGTATAAATACATTAAAAACATTTGTAATAGCTTCATCTATTCAGACAAACCAATAGAAAAACAAAAGTTTTAACAGCTAACAGTATAAAACCTAGGCTCACAAATATTGCAATCATCTATTTCGGCTAAGATCACAGTGTGTTTTTCTTTTCTGTTTCAGTTACATTTCCATGGAAACAGATATGAAGAGCTTAAAGAATTCATAGATGAAGAAAATATTCCTGAAGATTATGGAGGGAAAGGTCCAAAATATTCAAATAAGGTGAATTATTTATAACTTTTTACCAAATTAAAGAGATCTAAGATACATGCTTTTGATTAACATCTGACAATATATTCAACAGACAATTTGTAAATTTTTTAATGAATCAAGAAAAAGTAATTTTTTTATAAATACATCTTCATGTTATATTAAATGTAAAATAGTAAATAGATAGGTTTAGATATGATGTAGTTTGAGTTTGAGTTACTTCCCTTGGCTGCCAGTAAGGAGGGGTAAATGGTTGATTTTATTGTTGAGCCTGCGACAAGTTGCAGAAAGCTAGACATAGGGATTAGTGATCCGGTGGCATTTACAAACTTCTTAAAAGCAATATATTTCAGACAGTAGAAGACCTGGATCCTTTATACTTTGTTTTTAGATGCCTTATGTTATGAAGTTTCCGTCTGTCATATGTCCATTGTCCTTGACCTCATTTTCCTGGTTCAGTCACTACTTTAAAAAAAAGTGAAGATTTTTAGTATTCTTAATTTCTCTCTTATTATGAGTTAAAGGATAACTATATTTAGTATGTGCGTACCTTGCAAGGTCCTCATGCCAGACAGTTTTCACTTGACCTCTACCTCATTTCATGGATCAGTGAACAAAGTTAAGTTTTCGTGGTCAAGTCCATATCTCAGATACTGTAAGCAATAGGTCTACTATACTTGATGTATGGAATGATTGTAAGGTGTACATGTCCAACTGGCAGGTGACATCTAACCTGGACCTCATTTTCATGGTTCAGTGGTTAAAGTTAAGTTTTTGTGTCTTGGTCTGTTTTACTTATACTGTAAGCAATAGATCAACTATATTTGGTGTATGAAAATATTTTATGACGTACATGTCAGTCCGGCATGTTTTATTTGACCTTGACCTCATTTTTACTGTTCATTGCTCAATGTTAAGTTTTTGTTTTTTGGTCTGTCTGTCTAATACTATAATCAATAGGTCAACTATATTTGGTGTATGGAATGATTGTAAGGTGTATATATGTCTGTCTGGCAATTATCATCTGACCATGACCTAATTTTCATGGTTCATTGGTCAATCTTAAGTTTCCTGGTTAAGTTTGTTTCTTAGATATTATATGCAATATGTCAACTATATTAGAAGCATGTAATGATAGTTAGGTGTACATGTCTGTCTGGCAGGGTTCATCTGACCTTGACCTCATTTTCATGGTTCATTGATCAATGTTAAGTTTTCTTCATTATTTTTGTTTCTTAGATGTGCAATTGGTCAACTATATTTTAAGCATATTTGGTGTATGGAATGATTGTAAGGTGTACATGTATTTACAGTTTGGTTTATCTGACCTTGACCTCATTTTCTTGGATCATGTTAAGTTTATGTGATAGTTGTAATAAAGCTTTATATTTAGGACTATCAACATAATATCAATGGTTAGTAAAGAAGGCGAGACATTTCAGCGTGTGCACTCTTGTATATATTTTAAATACAAGTTCATATATTTAATGTAAAACAGTAAAACTCAAGTAGTTTCCAAGTCCAAGAAACTTTAAATGATATACTAAAAATATACCAAGGGGAAATAAGCAGACTCTTTTATACTTAAGATTCATTCATTAAAAATCCTTACTTGAAAATGAATGCAACATTTCTTTAGAACGTGCAATTTATCTTTCTAAGAGTAATCAAGTGTTTTTCATGAGAAGTTGATTTCAAATATATTAAAAATGTGGTATGATTACTAGTGATACAATATCTGTAAATTCTGAGATTATTGCATGCATCTATTATTGCAATTTCGACATGGCAGACAAAATTTTGAGAATAATTGGAAAAGCTGCTTCCAAATATATGTACAAGATTTCAGACTAAGAGTTCTTATTATTGGGATACTTACCCAGTCACATTATTCGCAGTAATTTCTGGATTTACAGCAACCTCCAGAGTTCAAATGACAAAAGGTCAAGGATGTTAACAGCCATACCCATACTGTTTACAAAGCTATAAAAAGGCCCCAACATGACGAAATGAGAAACACTATTTACGGCTGATTTTGTTGTGTTGTAGATATATTCAATTATTTTCTGCCATCAGAACAAACTCATTGCAGAAAGGTTTGGTGACAAGGTTTACCTGGCTATTCTAAATTGTAATTTTTTCATGGAATTTACCTGAAAATAACAGCTGCAGACATGTCTTATTTGATGGTATTGAAAGGTTGTATATCTACAATGGAACTTCATATTTCTTTACATTATAATTAAAGGAATGGATGGACGAACTGTTAAGGCTTGATGCACACTTTGACAATGAAGCAAAATATGGACTGGTGGATGGTAAATTAAAGAAACCCACGATGAAGGAAGATGCTATTGACTGTATGGTGGGATCCTACAGGAAGTTAGATGTTTAATACTGACAATTTTATCTTAGGATTTGTTAACTATTACAACTCATCACTAAATAGTTCTTGTCTAGGAGTATATTTTACCCTGTTTGATTATGAAGTAATTTCCTCTACACCTTTTTTCTGACATGTTCAAGCCCTTTTATGAATTTGAAATTCAAAAAAATATATACTTCCACCTATTTATATGTCCGGTTTTGAAAAGAATTAATCGAATGTTACTACAAACAATAAAATCACTCTAGTGAAAACAGGACTATAATAAATAATACAGAATTGGCTATGTTAGGATATGTAGTGTTTCTGTTTTTCTAATTAGGCACTTGAAAATTGCAATTAACACTTTTCACATTTAATGGGTTCCGAAGCCCTTTTCTGGTTTATCTTCACCAAATTATCATATTGATGTCAGTTAGCAAAAAAATGGTTAGTTATAATGAGAGTACTGCTGTTTTTGTTATTATACGACCGCAAAAAAATTTTTGTGGTCGTATATTGGTATGACGTTGGCGTCGTCGTTGTCGTCGTCGTCCGAAGACACATTGGTTTTCGCACTCTAACTTTAGTTTAAGTGAATGGATCTCTATGAAATTTTACCACATGGTTCAATACCACAAAAGGAAGGTTGGGATTTTGGGGGTTATGGTACCAACAGTAAAGGAATAAGGGGCCAAAAAGGGGCCAAAAATAAGCATTTTTGTAACTTCCAGACATAACTTGTGTGTTAGTGTATGGATCTCTCTGACATTGTACCACAAGGTTCCATATCACAAAAGGAATGCTGGGATTGATTTTGGGGGTAATTGCCTCAAAATTTTAGGAATTAGGGGCCACAAAAGGGGCAAAAAACAAGCAAGGGATTTTTTTTTTTTCCTTTTTTTTCTTTTTTTCCTTTTTTTTTTCTTTTAAAATTTTCCATTTTAAGTTGGTTATTTCTGATTTATATTTAAAAGCAAATAATAATGATATGGTAGGAGATACACACCAAGCAGGATGTGTAAATTATTATATAATAAGTATTGTGCAATAGCAAGAAATTTTCAATTGCACAGTATTGCACAATAGCAAGAAATCTTCAATTGCACAGTATTGCGCAATAGCAAGAAATCTTCAATTGCACAGTATTGCGCAATAGCAAGAAATATCCAATAGCACAATATTGCGCAATAGCAAGAAATTGTCAATTGTACAGTATTGCGCAATAGCAAGAAATATTTAATTGCACAGTATTGTGCAAAAGAAGATACTTCGTATAAATTTCTTATTTCTTGACCAATTTCAATGGGGTTCTTTAATATGCTGAATCTAACCGTGTATTTAGTTTTTGGATTTTGGGCCCCGTTTTTAAATTGGTCCACATTGAGGTCCAAAGGGTCCAAAATTAAACTTTGTTTGATTTCATCAAAAATTGAATTATTGGGGTTCTTTGATATGCCAAATCTAACCGTGTATTTAGATTCTTAATTTTTGGTTCCGTTTTCAAATTGGTCTACATTAAGGTCCAAAGGGTCCAAAATTAAACTTAGTTTGATTTTAACAAAAATTGAATTCTTAGGGTTCTTTGATATGCTGAATCTAAACATGTATTTAGATTTTTGATTATGGGCCCAGTTTTCAAGTTGGTCCAAATCGGGGTCCAAAATTAAACTTTGTTTGATTTCAACAAAAATTGAATATATGGGGTTTTTTGATATGCTGAATCTAACCATGTATTTAGATTTTTGATTTTTGGGCCCCATTATCAACTTTGTCCACATTGAGGTCAAAAGGGTCCAAAATTAAACTTTGTTTGATTTCATCAAAAATTGAATTCTTGGGGTTCTTTGATATGCTGAATCTAACCATGTATTTAGATTTTGGATATTGGACCATAATAGTTGAATGTCCAATTTAAAATTTTTAAGTTCTTAGACCACATTCATTCTGTGTCAGAAACCTATGCTGTGTCAAATATTTAATCACAATTCAAATGCAAAGCTGTATCAAGCTTGAATGTTGTGTCCATACTTGCCCCAACTGTTCAGGGTTGACCTCTGCGGTCGTATCAAGCTGCGCCCTGCGGAGCATTTTATTTGCATTGCTAAGTATATTTTCTTCCTTCATACATGAACATTGTCCCTACATGAAATTTACAATCAACTACCTCTGTTTGATTATGTTGTGTTTTTATGTACACTTACAGTTTTTTGTTACACATATCTTATGTATTTACATATCTTTTTATTGATGTTTGGTCAGCTATGTAGACTTATAGCTGGTCAGTTATGTAGCCATTAATTGATTTATTAAATCTGTTTTTTGTTGCTGTTTTTGTTATACATGTAATTACTTGAAAAAACACCGATTACTTCTAACTGTTGAGGGTGGGGTAGGGGGTATTACAAATAAGGACACTAAACTCTATAAAGTTACTTTGATGTAAATTTATTACTTCTGACTGTAAAGGTTGGGTTTTACAATACAAACAAGGGAACTAACTCTTTAAAATTATTTAGAAGTAGATCATGTAGATTGACTTTTAGGTGTATTTTACAAAAGGAAAATAATTCTTTAAAGTTATTTAGAAGTAGATTGACTTCTAGGTGTATTTTACACAAGAGAAATAACTCTTTAAAGTTATTTAGAAGTAGATTGACTTCTGGGTGTATTTTACACAAGGGAACTAACTCTTTAAAGTTATTAAGAGGTAGATGGACTTATACACAAGGGAACTAACTCTTTAAAGTCATCTGAATGTTTTAATGACTTTGTAACATGGACAAATCTTTCTTAAATTGTGGAATATCTCTTGATTTAATAATAGGAGGATGTAATGTCTCAAATGAAATGAATAACAATACAAATGAAGAAAATTAAACAAAAGGAATATTATTTAACAGATCTGTTGGATACCCCTCAATTGTATATATTTATTATGATGAAGTTGCTAGATTCAAACCAAAGTTTGAAATCCAGATTTTTAATAATTTTTTTAGTTTATTGGCATTTTATATTGAAATGTACAATTTGGTGAGTTGATTTTAAGTTCTTTTTCCAATGATGGAATTTTTATAATGTATATACATGTATTTGCATACATAATTAGCATAAATCTTGTGTAATCAGTAAAAAATAATCAATAAAGAAAAATTAAAGTTGTAATTCAGATGAAACTTAATTCATTTGCATAGTGTTTTATTGAGTGACAATGATCTAATTGAAGGTTTTTTTGATTTGTTGAAACCAATTGTCATTTTAGAATTAACATGTTTCCAATTCTAGATTTATTTTGGCAAAGGGAAACATCTCTAAAGCAGGATAAATTGTGGTTCCTGTGTTGTCATAAAAAGTATCAGTAACAGACCTGCCAACTTTTGAAAATCCCCTCATTGTGCACGACCAGATTTTTTAAGGGCTACAATTGATGCGGCGTTTCTGTGTGCATTTGAGATAGTCTAATATCTCTTCTTTTTTCTTTTGATGTACTGATGATGAGCTAATAAGTCTTGATTTCTTTTATTTGCATGATTCTTGTACTTATTAATTGGCAAAATAACTTAAGAATAGAGAAAAATGGCCTAAAAAAATAAAAGATACAAAGTGAAGACCCCCCTCCTTTTCCCCCTCCAAAGACCTTCTTATCTTTGCACCATGACTCAAAAGACCTAAACCTAAATATCTCAAAAACCAAAGCAGTTAGAGCAAATCTGACATGGGGGTAAAAGTGTTCATAAGGTAAAGTTCTATCAGCCCTTAAATTTTCAGATGAATCTAAAAACCCATTGTTGGGTTGCTACCACTGAATTGGTAATTTTAAGGAAATTTTGCAGTTTTTGGTTATTATCTTGAATTATATTTAATGATAAAGATAAACTGTAAACAGCAAATATGTTCAGCAAAGTAAGATCTACAAATAAGCTAAATGACCAAAATTGTCAAATGTGTCCTTAAGGAGTTATTGCCCTTTAAAGACAATTTTTCACAATTTGTTCATCTATAGTTTGCTTACTTTAAAAAATCTTCTCCTTTGAAACTTGGGCTGAATGAGTTTCAGAGTATCTAGTATAAATTTTGAATTTTTTTTTCTTGTACGTCGAGAAACATAGCCACTATGGCTAAAATGGAACATAGGGGTAAAATGTATTTCTTTGCTTTTGAAGAAAATATGACAGATACAAAGACCATCTCAATGGAATTTTTCAGCCACTCATTAATAAATATTAAAAAGCAAAAATAATCATTGATGAAAGATTTAAACAAAAAATTACAGATGAGCGATTCAGGCTCTTGAGAGCCTCTTGTTTTATTTGAAAATGGCTTATTTTTTATGTGTTTTTTTTTTTTTTTTTTGTGGTACAGAACTGTTATGATCTCATTATAATATGACTCAATACTAACTTTTGTTTTCATTTTCTATATTTTTTCTGATTTTGGATGGAAATTTTTTAATATTTTGTTGAAGTTTACCTTGCTATAACGAATCCATTTGTTTTGATGATATTTATTATTTAGAAAGTTTGTTTTTTTTATTTTATCATATTTTTTCTTTTTTAAGGAGGGAGGTTGAGCTTCTTATTTTAATTAACAAAGATTCTTTTTTTACACTTTAGAAGTTATTCAAGATCTGTTTTGTATTATGGGTATACTGTATAACGTCTATGATTCTTGTATTAATGTGAAAAAAAGGAAGCATGGATTATTATATCTGTTTAGAAATCACAAATTTAATTATGAAAGCATTATTTGTTTGCAGCTATTACTAAAATCAAATTGATTTTTTAATTGTTTAATTTTTGTCTCATCTTTGTTAAATGTGGCAGAATGCAAGGCAAAGGAATAAGTACTTCTTGGCGGTGGTATTAGGCATACACTATTTGTTAGAACTATAATATTTCTGAAGGTATAGGTATCAGATCTAGATAATTTATATCTTATATAGATTGCCTTATGGTCTAAAGTTTCAGGCTGGAATTTGCCAGTTGCCATTGACCTCAATTTGTTGGTTCTGTAGATATATAGATAGATGCTGTACTGATTATTTTATTACTGTGGATTCATATATTTTCGTGGATTGAGGAGAACGAGTATTTGATTTCGTGGTTTTCCAAAAGTCTGCACATTTTTATAAAGCAAATTTATATTTCGTTGAATATTTAAATTCTGACTTTCATTATAAAATTCAGTCATAATCAGTAAAGCTGACAATGCATTTCAGTGTATGCACTCATGTTTTCTAGTGTTTTAGATGTGTATTAGAGAATGCCTGTATACGTAGTAAGATCAGTAGTTTACAAAAATTCATTATAACCAAGTATATTTACTTGAGTGATAGATTAAAATTCACTTAAAGTTGATAAGCTGTCTAATAATGTATGTTATAGAAATATTGTTACCATTGTTTTTGTAATTTTGTGAGCATTATTTTTCTACAGAATAAAATTCATTACTGGTTTCTGATCAGTAATATAAAGAATATGTGTCATTTTCTTTTTTTTGCAGAAAGTATAAATTATCATAGTATGTCAACAAACTTCTTCTTTTCTGTTCACCTTGTTGGACCATCTCATTGTCTCTGTGTCAGGTTTGGGTCATTTTTTATTCCCCACCTAGGGGCATTATGTTTTTTGGTCTGTGTGTCCATTTGTCTGTCCGTCTGTCCCACTTCAGGTTGAAGTTTTTAGTCTTCAGGTTAAAGTTTTTGGTCAAGGTAGTTTTTGATGGAAGTTGAAGTCCAATCAACTTGAAACTTAGTACACATGTTCCCTATGATATGATCTTTCTAATTTTAATGCCAAATTAGAGTTTTGACCCCAATTTCACGGTCCACTGAATATAGAAAATGATAGTGTGAGTGGGGCATCTGTGTACTATGGACACATTCTTGTTTCCTCCTCTTCTCGGAATTTGCTTTGTGAGTGGAGGTTCAAGTTTGCATGAATATTAAAAGTGTAATGTTAAGAAGATAGGGACCTTTGGTTGCAAAGTGATCTATGTAGTTCATATTTTTTGCATTCGATTTTCTCTCCACAGTTTTCTCTTCATTTGTCTCTTCAGACATATTTTTAAGTATTACACACATCAACATAGTACACCAGACAACTCCCATGCACTATACACATCAACATGGTACACCAGACAAATCCCATACACTAGACACATCAGCATAGTACACCAGACAAATCACATGCACTAGACACATCAACATGGTACACTTGACAACTCCCATGCACTACAGACATCAACAAATACATCAGACAACTCCTATGCACTAGACATATCAACATAGTACACCAGACACTCCAATGCACTATACACATCAACATAGTACACAAGACAAATCCCATAAACTGAACACATCAGCATAGTAAACCAGACAAATCCCAAGCACTAGACACATCAACATAGTACACCAGTCAACTCCAATGCACTACAGACCAACAAATACACAAGACAATTCCCATGCACTAGACACATCAACATAGTACACCAGACAACTCCCATGCACTAGACACATCAACATGGTACACCAGACAACTCCCATATACTATACAATTCCACAAAGTACACCAGACAAATCCCACACGCTAGACACATCAACATAGTACACCAGACATCTCCCATGCACTAGACACATCAACATGGTACACCAGATAAATCCTATGCCCTAGACACATCAACATGGTACACCAGACAAAACCCTTGCACTATAAAGATCAACATAGTACACCAGAAAACTCCCATTCACTATACACATCAACATGGTACACCAGACAACTCTTATGCCCTAGACACATCAAAATAATACACCAAACAACTCCCATGCACTAGACACATCAACAAATACATCAGACAACTCACATGCACTAGACACATCAACATGGTACACCATACAACTCCTATGCACTATACACATCAATATGGTACACCAGACAACTCTTATGCCCTAGACACATCAACATAATACACCAAACAATTCCCATGCACTAGACACATCAACAAATACATAAGACAACTCACATGCACTAGACACATCAACATGGCACACCATACAACTCCTATGCACTATACACATCAACATAGTACACCAGACAACTCCCATGCACTAGACACATCATCATGGTACACCAGACAAAACCCATGCACTTGACACGTCAACAAAGTACACCAGACAAATCACATGCCCTTGACACATCAAAATAGTACACCTGACAAAACCCATGCACTAGACACGTCAGCAAAATACACCAGACATTTCCAATGCCCTAGACACATTAACATAGTACACCAGACAACTCCCATGCACTAGACACATCAACATGGTACACCAGACAAATCCCATGCCCTAGACACATCAACATGGTACACCAGATAAATTCAATTCACAACACACCTCAACATATATAGCATACTAAACAAATGGCATACTATGGACACATCAACGAAGTACATCAGACATACCCCATACACAAAACAGTCCGCCAAGGAACTCAACATGCAGAACAACATTACCAGCTTACAGATATTCTTGATGACAATGGATTAACTCAATTAGTACAAGAGCCAACTAGAAATAAAAACACTTTGGACCTTCTTATAACCAACTGTCCTAGTAAACTGATGAGACTTGATGTCATTCCAGGAATTTCAGACCATGATATTGTGTATGCAGAAATGAACACCAATCCAATGACAAACAAACAAAAGCCAAGAAAAATCCAACTGTATAGAAGAGCTAAATGGGACAGCATAAAAGAGGATATGAATTTGCTTTATATCAAAATTCAAAAAGAAAGCCTGAACAAGAAGACAAACATCAATATACTCTGGAACATGTTCAAAGAAGACCTAGAAAGCAGTACTAACCAGCATATACCTTCCAAAGTATGCAAGACTAAGGACAAAAACCCATGGATAACCCAGGAAATCAAAAAACTTATGAGACGAAGAGACCGAGCTTATAAAAAGAAAAAGAAATCAAACCATGCTACTGATGTTAAAAGATTTAAACAACTGAAACAAACCATCCAAAGAAAATCAAGACAAGCCTATTGGAAGTATATAGAAGACATAATAACTCCAGAAGATAACGAGGACATCCGTTCACCAACAAAAAGATTCTGGACCTATATCAAACACAAGAAAAGTGATAAAAATGGAGTAGCACCACTTAGAAGAAATGGGAAATTAGAAACTGACCCAATAAATAAAGCAAATATTCTAAATGATCAATTTCAATCAGTCTTCTCTGCTGCATGTCCAATCAGTAAACGAGATTTTGAAAAGAAAAAACTCATGTCAGATCTACCAGAAAATTATCCAGACAGCGAACAAATAATCATCACAATTAATGGAGTGGAAAAACAGCTGAAAAATCTAAAACCACACAAGGCTGCTGGACCAGACAACATCAAGCCAATGATTCTGAAAGAACTAGCCAGTGAAATTGCTCCAATCTTAACCATCATATACAATTTTTCAATGGAGGAAGGAAAGATACCCGATGACTGGCGAACTGCAAATGTCACTCCGGCATATAAGAAAGGCCAGAAATACATAGCAGCTAACTATAGGCCAATATCCCTAACATGTATTTGCTGCAAAATAATAGAACACATAGTCACCAGTAACATCATGAAACATGCAGAGGTAAATAACATACTATACCCATTACAACACGGCTTCAGAAGTAAAAGATCATGTGAAACACAACTCCTTGAATGTATCGATGACATCACAAAAAACCTGGAAAACGGAAAACAATCAGATCTGCTAATACTTGACTTTTCAAAAGCTTTTGATAAGGTGTCCCACAGCTTACTCCTCCATAAATTACACCATTATGGCATCCGAAGTAAAACAAACAAATGGATAAAGGAATTTCTCACCAATAGAACCCAGGTAGTAGTTGTTGAAGGCGAAACATCTGACAAAGTAAAAGTAGAATCCGGAGTACCGCAAGGATCAGTATTAGGACCCAGTCTTTTTCTGTTCTACATCAACGACCTACCAGAAGGCTTACACTCCACAGTGAGACTGTTTGCGGACGATACTGTGGTCTATTTGACAATTTCATCAGACAGCGACTGCCATAAACTCCAAGAAGACCTGGACAAACTGGCAAAATGGGAAGAACTCTGGAAAATGGAGTTCCATCCTGAAAAATGTAGTGTCCTCACTGTTACAAAAAAGAAAAAGCCAACCAAGTGGGACTATAAACTCCACGGCCATACTCTGGTGCATGAAACATCAACTAAATACCTAGGCTGCACCATCGCAAATGATCTAGATTGGGGAGAACATATAAACAACATCACAGGAAAAGCCAGCCGAAGCCTTGGTTTCCTACATCGAAACCTCCACATTAGCTCAAAATCCATCAAAGAGCATGCCTATAAAATATTAGTAAGACCGCAAATGGAATACGCCACGACAGTATGGGACCCGTACCAGCAAAACCACATAGATAAAATTGAAAAGGTACAAAGAAGAGCTGCACGATATGTAACCAGCAGACATAGAAATAGATCAAGTGTCAGCAACATGATAAATGAATTAGGATGGAAAAGCTTACAAACAAGACGAAAAGAAGCACGACTCATCATGTGTTACAAAATAACAAACGACCTTGTAGCCATAGACAAGAATAAATATCTACAAAAACCAACAAGAAGCTCAAACCGGACAGGACAACATACTTACCTATTACAGCCAGCCACCAAAGACTGTAGGAAATGGTCCTTCTTCATAAACACCGTCAAGGATTGGAACAAACTGCCACCAGATACCGCCACAGCAAAGTCTCTTGAGATATTCAAGTCTCAAGTCACCAAAACCACAAACTAAATCAACAGAACAATTTGTTTTTATCCTGTTTTTAACCTGTTTTTAATCATGCGCAACTTGCCAGAATATTCATCATGTTGAATGTGGGCAGTATATGGAAGAAGAAGAAGAAGACACAGCAACGAATTAAAACAAATTTCCTATGAAGTATACACATCAGCGAAGTACACCAAACAAATCCCATGCAGTAGACACATCAACGTATAATTGTTTTTTGTATATGAAACTACTTATTGTGCAGTGTATAATTATTTTCCATCACCACAGTCATCGATTTTTCATAGTAAAATACGTTATTTTATGGGTTATGATCTTCATTTAATTTTATTATTGGTTGACTTCAGTTGAATTGTTCAGTTGGTCTACATTTTGTTTAAACCAAAGATTTTAAAATTGGCAAGTGTTATCTATCTGTTAAGCATACGACATTTAAATGTAGGTGCAAAGACTGATCGGTTCATTCATAATATAATACTTGAACTGACAAGAATGGGAAGTTTTTCTGCGTAACGTTTCAAACCTTGTTTTTTCCTAGCAGGTAAAAATCACGACCAATCGTGTCTGTCAACAACAAAGCAGGGTAAAGTCATATCTTATCATCGTGTCATTGTCCTTAAAGATGCATATTGAATTTGCCGCTCGACACTAGGTAGCGATAAGACAATCCGTAAAAGTGTATTATGTCTATCCGTAAGTCTTCTTTTAAATTTTGAAAATCTTCAGATATTAAAATTAAACTAATAGTACAAATGGATTCAAATGAGCCTACAATCATTATTGGGAAAAATAGTTTGAAAAGGTTGAAAATTCCACTGCTTTACTGTATGTCATACAACAGCCTTCAACACTGAGAAAAACCCACAGTCGGCTATAAAATGCTCCGATATGAAAAGTGTGAAACAATTCAAACGAGAAAACTAACAGCCTAAATTATAACAAAATAATTTCCGAAAAAAAAAACCCAAATATGACAGACATGAACAAACGACAACCACTGAAATGAGACCATATACAATTTCACCTTCGGATTTTTCGGCAGTGTATTCGTAAGATCATGTAAGAGGGTGGTAAAGGGTTATTTTCGTGCAACGTGATCGCCGTTTTTTATTTCACGTTCAACGTGTTTTTACTTTTTTATTTAACGTTCAGTCGTGCAAGACAGGTGCCTCGTTCAACGTGTTCTGCTTATTTAATTTTACGTGCATCGTGATTTTCAAATGCTTATTTTGCGTGCTCGATATTTTTCAAATAAAATTCAAATACTTGGCAGGGGTCAAGAAATACTTTTTTAAAAGCCGTAAACCATTTACATCATAAATGTGTATACTAAATCGGGAATAACAAGTAAAACAGAGAGTTTATATATACAAGAAGACAGTGACTCAGTCACAAAAGGTTCACAACAGTCTTTATTTTTCGTGCAACGTTCATGACAGAAATTATTTCACGTTCAACGTGAAATTATGTCTTATTTCACGTTTTTTCCGTGCAAACACCCCCTTTTACCACCCTCATGTAACGTTGCTCATTTTTTTTTAGTGTTCTGTGTATTTTTATTGTTTTTTTCTGTTTTCTTCTGTAACTCGTTACCACACTACAATATCATTATCAACACTATTCTAAATAGATTGAGCTGGGATGCAAAAAAATAAAAAAATCAGCTAAGAGACGACAAGCTTTTTAAAATAGCTATTACTTGTGTATTTACAGCTTTGTCGTATTTTGGTTTGTTTCACTCCCTAGTCTCTTTGGAGCTCCGTTGGTAATATAATTAGATTTGGCGTTAAGTGTCAGGAACTTTCCGGTCTATTTATACAAAGACGTAGCTATTTAGGATGAATAAGTGAATGATTAATATTGTTGGCATTCCTGGTGACACAGTAAGTTACGATCAGTATATTACCAGTAAGTTTATTTGTAAGAATACAACATTCTATTGAACTAAAATATTTATTTCCAAATAATGATTTTACTTCTTTTTAGTATGTACAGTATTCATGTTGTTGATTTCAGTTGACATAAATTCTTGGAAAGTTTCTAATTTTCGTGCATTATTATATATACAATTATTAATAACAATACGGTACCTTCATCTTCAGTCAGGGATATATAACTCTATAGGGTTATTACAGAAAAATAACATACATTTGTTATTGTGGACTAAAAAATCAAAGATCTGTGATAACATATGTATGTTACATGTTTCAAAGGGACAATATTCATCACTAGTTTAGTTAAAATGCATACAAGTTCTATTGATATTACTATTGTCTTTATGTATACTTAACTATAGAAAGATATAACAGTTCATAGTTTGCCAATTTTGCATAGTACACCTATATGTTATTACAGAAAAAATATGCCTGTAATAACTTAAGGATGTTATCACAGCTTCTCTATATCACTCAAAAACATTTTCTCAGACATACATCATGCTTAATTACAATGTATTTTAATTTATTATAAGAAATAATGACCAGAGCATGTAATGAGGTTCTGGGAAGCTTCCCAGTAAGTCCCAAGTGTCTCATATAATAGGTTTCATTCCTTTAATAACTAAGCTATGTTATTACAGCTAATTTTATCCCTTAAAAGCCTCGTCTCATTGATTTATCATGGTTAATAAAAAAAGTATTAATTTTTAATTAGAAAATTAATTATCAAGACTATGCATTTAGTTTCTGCACAAAGTCTCAAGAGTTCCCTAGAGCCTATTATAAATTAAAATATTTTTGATATATTTTACAAATAACAAACATATGTTATTGCAGATTTAGAAAATTAAAGGAATAAAGAGTAGACAACTCATGAAAGTATCTGTAATAACACACACAAGTTATTTTCTGTAATAACCCTATAGAGCTATATCTCTGACTGATCTTTTCTTGTTACCGTTACACTATAGCAAAATACTACATTCAAATCATAAAGATCATAAAGGCCATGTATAAAAAAGATTTTTTTTTTGCATTTTTCTAGGATACAACAAATAAAAGCTTTCTGAAAGGCATAGGCGCAGTAAAACTCCGCTCACACTAGCATTTTTTGAATCGATCTAAATAAAACCAGTTAACATTCACATTATTTTTAATCCTAACGATCTCTATCGTTCTAATCTGAACCACTGCGTTCACACTACAATTATATATTTGGGGTGGGGATTGTCCTTGTAAATATTGAACATTGTAAATACGTTAGTGACACATCTACATTTCTACTGTAAAACATTGTATATTAATTGTTAACTTATTCTTATATGGAAAATGCATGAAATATTTGCCACTGGACTAAAACCAACTATTAATCAATCATATTGCCTGCCATAAAAAGACAAAGAAAATGTAATGTTTCAAATCCCATGAATCTTGTCATTAGTTAATTGTTTGCGTACAAAAAGGTTTTGTCAAATGAAAAAATGCAATAAAAGGGAGATAACTTCTAAAGGGGATGATGAAATCCTTAACAGGGTCATCTGGTAATACTGTGTGATGAGGTCTATATGTGCTTTAAATTTGGTCTTGATAACTTTAATAGAAACGTTGGGAGGGCATGTCAAAAAAATGTTGGAAGAAAAAAAAAAAGAAAAAACATTAGAAAAACAATAAGGTCTTTCCTAACGGAGTGGAAAGACCTTAATAAGTGAATAGAGAATAAAGAAAATATTATATTAAAGAAAAAGGGTCTTTCTGGTTCAATTTAAAAGTAACAATGCTTGAAATGGACTAAATGTTCACCTGAAAAGGTAAATCTACTCTCAAGTACTACTGTAGTCATGATAGTGTTGTCATTTAATAGAAGATTTTGACACACTTTGATGGTTTTCATTAGGCCATGGATGATTGAAATGCAAACACATATATATAGTGTGTAATGGGAATACAATTTTGAATGATAGGACACTTTTGGGCATTTAATTTGTTTCAAGGTAGGACTATCATATAGATTTTTTACTTTATTTATACATATAATATTATGGATGACATACATGTATGATCAACCTGTTGTAAAATCTTTTTCCTGCAAGTATTTTTGGTTTTTTTTCTGATAATACAATTTAAGCAATATATAATATTTACCAGTAATCATAGAACTATATATAAATTTTCATTTGTATTACACATAAGCAAGATCAAGTTAATGGCATGATCTATGCTAAGTTCTCGGGGAAAGGGAGATATAAAGATATGTACAATGATGTATACGTATATAGTTAAATTCTTTCTCTATCGGCATGATTGCTAAGGCTGTATAGAAATTAATCGTATTTTGTTTTGTAATATGTGTCACTGTCTATCTGAAATACATTCCTGAAAACATTGTAAACATGGTAAAAGCAAGTTTTAGATCCAAAAGTTTAAATTTTCCCTAATGGTGGGGGTAATTAAAAATCAGAATAATGTACACAAAAAAAACCCCATGAATGTTCGAATTTAGAGAGTAAAAGTCTGCTCTAAGTCCCCTGGATCTGCCCCTGATAATTCATTCGAATTGCATTTATTTGAACTAACATTTTGTTTTACTTTAACATGTTTAAAGCAGTTAAGATCATGTTAAGGTGACTAGTATTTGTGACAGCGATATTTTCCTCTTTGTTTTATTTCGTGGAAATTCAAACTTTATCTAAAAGCAAGCGACTATTGTTCTCGAAATTGTTATCTTACATGTTGAGAAGTTAATCCATTTTAATCCTAGCATTGTCCATTTCTTGTTATCATATATATGTTTTTTTAATTGTATTATTTGTTTGAATCATTAAGTGACAAATTTCATTATTACATGTAGTTATGATTAAGTAAGATTACGTAATTCATATTAGATCGTTTCTATGTAAATGGTCAGTTGGATACCAGCGGTCAAGCTGTACGGACGCCGTGCATTTACAGTGACATTCATTGTGTTTATTGGAATTACCATTTGTTTTATCTTTTCGGAATATTACCGTTGAACTTTTATTGTAATTAATGTATTGCACTATTGAAGAAGTTATATATAAACCATCGTAAAGCTTAACTTAGTTTTGTTGACTTTAGACAGTGACTTTCCCCCAGAATTCTAAATATAACAGGAACGACGAAAACCCCTGATATAAATATATATAGCTGGTCATGTTTATGACACATTGGTTGATCTAGCTATTAAGGTAAAAAGTCTGATAAGTTTATAAATTATGTAAGGAAATCTTAACAATGTTTAAGCAGGAAAATATGTCAGCTTTATAAAAATGTATTAAAAAGATTATTTATTCATATTTTAGGAAATGTATGTACAAATACCATGAATACCAGGAAATGAAGATTATATTTGCAGTAAAATTTTAAACTGTTTTGATCAAAATTTCTATTCTTGTTTATTTAAAACATGCAATCGACTTTATTCAAATTTAAATACTCCTTTACTAAGCTGTGTAAAAATAATTTAGTTCAAAAGGTGGAATTTTCAAGTTGGTTGTTTTAAAACCCACAATCGACTTTATTCAAATTTAAATACTCATAATTCATGTTCTAGTTTGCTGTGTACTAACAATTTAGTTCAAAAGGTGGATTTTTATTATTTCAAATAAGGTATTGTAATACATGTAAGATAAGAATCCATATTTAACATGTTATCTGGTCATGGTTGTAATATATATGATAGAATTTTGGTCTGGTTGTCTGGCTTAAAAATACATGTACATATCTGTCACCTGCGATTATTAGTGAGTTTAATACATGGATTTAAGGTAAATTGCACCTACACTTATCAAGTCACCTGTAAAACTAACAACAACCTGCAGGACAGATAGTTCTCTAATAAATCTTGCTGTGGTAATTTTGCCTTTAATGTGACAATTAATAATTTCCTCATAATGATTGTTTTATAATGATATATATATACATGTATTTATATAGCTATACATAGATATTACTTAGTAACAGTTTGAACTTATTTTGTAAGGACATATTTATCAACTTGAAGGAATCTGAATTTCATATTGTTATACATCAATTTGTTTCAAGGTAGGAAATAGATAATAATGTGTATGTATAGTACATCATGGTACATCAGAAACATGGTTTTGTGAAAATTATACATAAAGCTTGATCATGGTGATCATATGAAATTCAGGTATATACATGATATATATATATTTGGAGTTATAAATTTGACATAAAAATGGGTATGGAGATTACCCCCAATGTTCACATTGAAAAGAAAAAATCACATGCAGTTGATTTTATTGTGAAAGTTTAATTTCTAGCCCTCTATATGCATGACTTTTTGTTACTTTTCATTACATACATATGACTGAATAAATTTTTTTAGTTCTTTTCCTTCAGATGACTTTTGTAACCCAAATCTCCCATTTATTCAGATATATTAAAAACTGCTAGATATCCAACTTAACATGATGAATACAATTTAATATTCTGTATTAAATCTGTGTAAATGGAAAACCAAACAGTCCTAACAAAACCTTCAATTCTGAAATTATTTCAGTTTCATAACAATCTGATTGAAATAATAACAGATCCTGTGTCAACATTTTGATTATAAGGATTTGACAAATTTGCTCTACTTTTTGTTTTAGGACATTTCTGGATCCTCTGGCTTTGTTGTATTGATACACACCTTCAAAAGTTTTAAAGGCTGAAATTTCATAGGCTTATGTAACCAGAAGAAAACGTACAGTGTTTTTGGATCGTTGTAAGCAAAGCTTTGACACAGGATCTGTAATCTAATCAGGCAGTCAGGGGTACTACTTGTACAAGTAATTTTTATTTACTTGAAGAAGTAAATATTAATATACTTATGTAAGTAAATTTGTCGGATACTTATACAAGTGTATTTTATTTACTTAGATAGGTAAAAAAAAATTGGGCTTAGTTATGTCCCTTAGACATTCAGATTTTTTTACTTATACAAGTAAAAAAGTCATCCTATCTTCTTTTCTTGAATTCTTAGGACTTCTTTGCTCTAATAGAATTTTTGATTGTCTGTCCTTTGCAGATGTCTTTACTAATCATTTAAGTGTAATTTCATGGATAATGAAAATCTCATTTGTCTGTTATCTTCAGAACACTGCTCATTTACAAGCCCCCAAGGGGCAATTTTTGAAGGCCTTGTGCAAATACACTTAAGATCTTTGCGCAATCAGTTTCTTTGTTGAATTAATGAGATGAAACATTGAACTCTAATCAAAAATTATGAGCTAACCTGAGAAAAATTGTTAAAGGCATGTTTTTACATCTCAAAACTTGAGAATTTTTGTGAGATTGTAAAAAAAAATTACTTCTACAAGTAAATTTTTGAGAAAATTAAGGGGAGATTATTCAAACATTATAATTAACTTATATAAGTTTATTTTATTTACTTCTTCAAGTAAATAAAGATTACTTGTACAAGTAGTACCCCTGACTGTCAGATTAGTGCCATAGACTCAGGTTTCAGTGTGACAGGTTTCACTTTTGAAATTCCACTAGTGGATTTGAACTTTCTTAAATAGTTACGATTTATGCTACCATGTAGTTATATTATAGAATTATCTTTTTTGTGCTGCTGACACATATTAAACTTGAGTTTAAAAAATAACCAGGATCCATGTAAAAGGGAACATCAATAGTAGGCCAACAATACATTATTATACATTTATAAGATCTATAGATAAAGCTAATTGTTGGAATGTGTACCTTGCCTTGTGTAACAAGGCTAATTATTATTGTAGATATATTGGACTTGTCACAGTTGAATGATACAAACTAAATTAAATTCATAGATGAAATTTTGATTTTGAAAGTTATTTATAAACATGATAAAGGTAGATTATATAGACGATATCAATGTTTTAATTAGTTTGACAAATGTTTAAGGAAGGAATTATAATTGCTTTGTAACTTGTCAATATGTAGTTTTGTATGAATTTCAACTCTTAAAAACAGATTTAAATGGACTGAAAATTGTAATCTGTGCTTTGTGTGACATGCTAAAAATATAACATTTGTAAAAATAAAAATGATTAAAATCCTGTTTTTTTCTTTTTTCAGAACTATGAGACATTGAATTACATACACAAACATTCAAATTTGACATCAAAATGGCTGAGAATGGAAATCCTGAGTATGTGTGTACACTGAGCCCAGAACTTATGAAGAAAGCACAAGAAGAACTAAATGAAAAACCAGAATGGAGAAGTAGAGATATACAGGCTCTGAGGGAAATGGTTCAAAAGGAAAAAGGTATGTCATGTTATAGAATGGAGATCTAGACTAAACAATTTTTCATATAATATTGAGTCAAATCCTATAGTACATTGTAATATGTGAAATTAATTACAGGGAGTATTTACTATATTACCAATATTTTTTATCTTTTGTATTTCAGCTTTAAGAATTCGCACAGATGACGCTTATCTATTACGTTTCTTACGAGCCAAAAAATTTGACTATGAGAGAGCATTTAATCTGATTATGACACATTTCAAAATGAAAGTAGACAATGCAGAACTATTTGAGGGGCTGCGTCCTGCTGCTGTCAAACATGTTTTAGAGGCTGGTGTTACTGGAGTTCTTCCTCAAAGAGACAAGCTGGGACGAAGGGTGATTATATTTAGGCCAGGTTAGTATACAATTATAATAATACACAGATAATCCAATAGTACAAAAGACCATATCAACCACCAACTCTGGAGCATAAAATAAAATAAAGAACAATCGTCAACACATTTTAATTTCAACATTTGCATTATTCTATCAAAATTACATAAAGGCGAGACATATCTCTGTCAACATTTTGTATTTTTGATCTATAAAAACAATACAAAAGTTCCAAAATCACTTGAATAGATTTTAGATCCTCTGTTTTTAAGTTTGTAGCAGAATATATATCATTGTGTGAATGTGAAAGTTCAATAATTATTTGTCTGACACTTAAAAAAAAATATGTCTTTCCTTCTTTTTTCAGGTAAATGGAATCCTTCAAATTTTGGTATTAATGATATATTCAGAACCAATTTCCTGACTATGTCAAGACTGATAGAGGTACCTTTGTTACCTAATATTTAACAATAACTCTGATATGATTTGCATATCTACAAATACTTGAATGTGATTGGTCTGTCAGAATTTCTTTCCTTGGTTTATACTTGGATAAACCATGTTGCCATAATGTATTCATTCCCTATGTAAATTCTGTGATATAGTCATGCAGGATACACATGAATGGAATCTCTGGAATTCTAAGAATGGTGAAATTTAAATTAAAAAAATAACAAATGTTTTGTTTGAGAATTACAAGAATTGTATACATTATTAAAGGAATGACTATAATATTTTTTCTGTCTATGAAGAAATAACCTAAAAAATGTGGTGCACACTGAATAACCTGTTTTGGGGGATATTTAATTAAAGTGCATCACAAATTTTAGGTTATTTCGAATAGACAGAAAACATATTACAGTCATTCCTTTTAATTTAATTCTAAATTTAATTTCTAAGGAGTAAATCATGAAAAAAACGTTGATGATACCATGGTCACATAATAAAATTGTGTCTGTGAGCTAATAGTAATAGACAAAAAACTTTCAGCCAATCAGAAGTTGTGTTACATCCAAAATTAAATTATTGATGTATAAACTAGATGGATGCTGTCAAAAACTTAACATAAAAGTCCAACTGGTTCAGCCTAGTCTACATATACATCAATAACCTTTAAAATGTGTTAAATCCTATAACTATTCATGCACTAATGGCTATAAAGAAGGTTATTGGGATGGCTTAGCAGTCATCCTCATAAAAAGTACATGGACAGAGGAAACAAAACAAAACAGTAGGGTTTCAATTTATATCAGTGAAAAGAAATAAATGTAAAGTGGTATTGATAAATGTTATACATTGTATAGATGTCAGTTGAAAAATCAGGACTATTTCGAGTACCAACAGCTGTTTTATGCATTTCTATTTTTGTGAGACAAATTCCTTTGTTTTTGTAGGATGAAGAAACCCAGATTAATGGTATTATAATGGTTATGGATTTAGACGGATTTGGATGGACTCATGGAAAAAATATTTCACCGCTGTATGCTCGTAGAATCATGGGTTTAATTCAGGTAGAAATATACTGTAAACCAACTCATTTTTGTGGATACTTTATTTCGCGTTTAGCCCCTTCTTGTCCATTTCACAGTAATTTAATGTCAGGATTTTCAAATTTACTTGATGTAGTTAAATAAGGAAAGATCCAAGTTCTACGTAGTCAGTTATTTTTCTACTCGTGAAAGTTGCGAAAATAAATGGCTCTAAAAAATAAGTTGATTTACGGTACTAGTCCTGTCTGATGAGTATACATAAACAGTTCTTCTCATTTGCTAATCATAGCAGATAAAAAAGTCATCCAAAAAAATATGTAGATGAAATTTGTCCACAGTGAATAGTTTAAAAAAACAACCCATTTTAGCCCAAAAACATTTCAATTTATGTTTGTATTTACCCATAGTATTTTTAATTGCATAGTGTAGAAAAAGACCAAATTATGACCATTATTATATTTTATTATAATATTAGTGTCCTTGACCTAAAAGTTTTATAATTGGCCTCTATTTACTGTGAATGTGGAGTACTCCTTTACGTAGATTGTTGACTAGCTACTGTGTCAGGGATCCAGTGGTATCATTTTATTAACTCTATGTATACAGTATAAACAAAATTCAACAAATGTTAATGATTGATTAACATTGGTTTGTGCTTTTCGTATAAAGACATTTTAGAATTTATAGATATGAATATAAAAATAAGGAGATATGATATGATTGCCAATGAGACAACTATCCACAAGATTCTACATGACATAGATGTAAGCAGCTATAGGTCACTGTACAGCCTTTAATAAACAAAACTCATACCACAAAGAAAGCTATATAAGGCCAAGGGTCGGTATACAGATATCGGTTGAAAATTCATAATTGTATCCTGGCACAAATACACTGACAAGGTGGCAACAAAAGTCAGAATCAAAGAACTCTAAATTGAGAAAGATTAGGTGTATCAAACCTTAAAGCATTGTCTATTATTTAGCAGTCATTATCCTGTTAAAGATTGTCACTTGTTTTAAATCTAATTTTTTAGAGGTCCTGATTGATTGATTGATTACTGCTTAACTTCCAACAGTAAAAATATATGCATATATGTGAAAATAACATGTTACTATATGCTAGACCGACAAGCTAATTAAGTCAGATTTTGATTGATTGATTGATTGGCAACTACCCTTATATCAATCAACTAATAGAATTTGAACACATGGATTTATAAAACTTCAAGATAAGTTAAGGGGCACTGATGATTTCACTTGTAATTAAGAACTTTGAGAATTGGTACATTTAAATGTTAGATTGATGTGTTATTGTAATTTTAGGATGCATTTCCAGCCAGATTTAAAGGTATACATTACTTCAATGAACCAGCCATCTTTGACTATGTGTTTGCTATAGTTAAACAGTTCATGAAGGAGAAAACAGTTTCTAGGGTAAGATAAATTATTATTTTTATATTTCATTTTCTATTTTTATAAATTTTTGACCATTGCATGTCAAATATTAAACAGCCAATCATCACCATTAATATTTTTATTATCAATGTTTGACCATTTGATATTAAACAGCCAATCATCACCATCATTATAAATGTTTGACCATTTAATGTTAAACAGCCAATCGTCACCATCATTATTAATGTTTGACCATTTAATGTTAAACAGCCAATCGTCACCATCATTATAAATGTTTGACCATTTAATGTTAAACAGCCAATCGTCATTTTAAATTTTTGCATGTGTCAGATCAAAACATTTTGTACTGTCTATATGAGTTTTCTCTATTGGTTTTTGTTTCTCATGCGACAAAAGTCACGGAAAGCGAGACATAGGGATTGCTTTTCTGGTGACGGCAACAGCAACAATGGCATCAACAATTGTTAAGTTTTCTGCTTAAGTTAGTTTGATACGAACTACTTGTGATTGATCATTGATATTTAATATAAAGTTGCATTACTATCAGTACATATCAGTTTGACAACTATTTTAGGGCCCTGCCCCCTATGTCATGGTTTAGTGACTTTGAATTAATTAGCAGTTTTCGATGTAAAGTTTTCTGCTTAAGTTTATAGTTTGATAGGATCAACTTGTGATAGATCAATGATATTTTGTATGAAGTTGCATTACTATCAGTAGATTGATAGGAACTACTTACAATAGACAAAGATATTTTCTATAAAGTTACATTACTGTCTGTACATCTCAGTTTGTCGACAATTTTCAGGCCTTGCCCATTAGATCATGGTCCAGCGACTTTAAATTAATAAGCAATGTTGCTGTCCAACAGATTGTCTTTTTCAGAATTTTACATCGACAGGCAAGACTTATCTCTGTGTCGACAAATTATTGTTATTTTATTGTATGCTTTAACATTTTATTAGCTTTAATACCTGGCCAGAAGGGCCATGTGAATTTTTTGCCATCACTTTGCATCTTTCGTCCGTTGTTCATTGTCTGTTTCATATACAGGATTTCAACAACAAAGTTTGTGATTGTTTGTCCAGGTTGATCAACCAACATTACAACAATCATGACAATGTCTAAAATAAATACAGGGATAAAACCACAGTTTTGCTAATATCACAAAAATCAAAGATAACTAACAGAGTAAAAATGGTCAGCACAACATCTATCTACTCTGAAAATTTTGGGTAAATCTGTCCCCCTGTTCTGGAGTTATTGCCCCTGAAATGTTGATTTTCAACTTTTTTGGCATTTCCATGCCATTGTTTGGAAAACTTTTGCAGCTAGATTAAAGCGTAAATTGCAAAAATGATCAGATAGACAGGATGTATCCACCCTGAAAATTGGAGAAAATTATAACTACCTGTTTTCGAGTTCTTGCCCCTGAAATATCAATTTTTTTTCTCAATTTTTAGCTGTTGTGGCCTTTTATCATGAAAACTATAAGAGCTAGGTTAACAGTGTAAATTGCAAAAAGGATCAGCATGACAAGATGTATCTATCCTCAAAATTGATGAAAAATCTGTGACCCTGTTTTGGACTTCTTGCCCTGGAAACATATAATTTTTGCAGTTTTTTGCTGTTATCCTGAAAAAAAGGTACTGTGACAGACTCCCAAATAAAATGACCTACAATTTATGCTTCAATGACTGATATTCAGTTTAGATTTAGGATACTGGAGCAGCATCCTCTATTTAATAAGATTTAGAATCTTGGACAAGAAAAATATGAAAATAATTCCTAGCAAACAGGTCTTTACGTTATGCTGTTGATTCATTTATACTCGTGGATACCAATTTTCATGGATTGTAGGTAAATTGTATTTTTTGTGGATATTTGATTTCATGGCTTTTCAAAGTTTTCATACAATTCTAGACAACATTTGTACTTCGTTGAACATTCAAGTGCTAATCTGCCTAAGAATCAGGAGATGGTGAAAACGTGACATACAAGAACCCACTCAAGATGACATTAGTTTATGTTCAAAATGTATAATATTGCACGAATATAACATTCGTTTCCTTTTCCTGTTCTGGTAATTCAATATATAATTTGGTTGAAATGCACTAGAAATTAACAGTTAAGGGGAGCTAACTCTGTAAATTGCTATCATTCTAACCAAAATTTATCTAGAGATTTCTTGAATTACCAGACACCTAGAACCGAAAGACCTACCTTTTCTAACTAAGGATGAGAGTAACTTCAAAATAGGATGGTTAAGTCAGTGGTTTTTTTTTCTGCCATGTGTTGATGTTTTTCAAAATAGCCTGATTCTTATAAAGACTGGCACTTAAATATAAACTGATATTATTATATTTTAGCTACATTTCCATGGTAAAAAATTTGAGGAACTGAAAGAATTTATTGATGAAGAGTATATTCCTGAAGACTTTGGAGGGAAAGGTCCAAAATATACCAATAAGGTAAATAATAAACATTCAAATGTTAATTTTGTTGCAGAAGCTAAATTAATCTAGATATGAATGGCGGAATTATTCATTTAGCAAAAAAAAATTGTTGTGTTTCCATAACACTTGCCTATCCTAAATTGTCATGCTGACCTAAACACATTTTAATGTATGGATATTTGTGGTTACGCTTTTTAAAATACAGACATTTTTGGTTTATTATAGATAATTATAGATTATAGAACTCTATTAAAGTTCAGAACATTTCCCGATATAGTCATAGTAAAACATTAAACAAAAATCATACAATTTAACCTACCTGCCTACCAGGAGGGAGGAAACAAAATTTATATTTTTTGGCCTTATGAATGTATCAGTTTCAATAACTATTGATTTACAGTTTCATTGTATTCCATTTCAAAACATTGTGAATAAATTTAACAGAGCAAAATTCATAGAAAAAACCCAATTGTATTCCTATTTTTTATTTAAATTTTTGGCTATCTCTTTAACCATGTCAGGATTTCTAAGATCATTCCTGGATCTCTGCAAAATGTTTATACAATGTTTAACATAATTAAAACATGCTTCCTTTTGATGTTGTAGATTTTCAGATTTATTTTTTAAGAGTTTTAGGAGACCAATATTCTTAAACGTTTAACAATTACAATTATATGTCAAAATGGTTTTACTTAAAGGGATCAATTTTCTAAATTTGTGCACAGTATTATTTCCATGGAGGCAAATTCCAGTTTTATTTTAATGACATACCAGAGTTATGGAACTTGTCTGCTCTATGGTCGGGTTGTTGTCTCTTTGACACATTCCCCATTTCCATTCTCAATTTTATTTGAATGTTAAAAGTTTGACAATCCAAGCAAGTTTATATGACATCACAAGTTTCCTCTAAGGAATCTTAACATAATTTTCACACATTATTGATTTCATGAAAACACAAATGCATTTTGACACTTTTTAGATTTTTTGTCCAAGACTTATCTTGTTGCTGTTTGTCATATGCTTTGTTTGTTTATTGTTTTGTACAGTTCTTGTATTGTTCTGTTGCACCACTGTCCAAGGATTAAGGGGAGGGTTGGGTGCCCGCTAACATGTTTAAACCCACCACATTCTGTATGTGCCTGTCCCAAGTCAGGAGCCTGTAATTCAGTGGTTGTTGTTTGCTTTTGTGTATCATATTTGTTTTTTGCGTTCATTATTTTGTTCATAAATTAGGCCGTTAGTTTTCTTGTTTGAATTGTTTTACATTTGTCATTTCGGGGCCTTTTAAAGCTGACTATGGGGTTTGGCTTTTGCTCATTGTTGAAGGCCATAAGGTGACCTATAGTTGTTAATTTCCAAGGCTTAAGTGAAATTTTCTCATCACTTGGCGTCAGTCATCCATCGTCGTTAACTTTTACAAAAATCTTCTAATCTGAAACAATTGGACCAAATTTAACCAAACTTGGCCACAATCATCATTAGGGTATCTAGTTTTAAAAATGTGTCCAATGACCCCGCCTGCAAACCAAGATGGCCGACATGGCTAAAAATAGAACATAGGGGTAAAAAGTTTTTTCTATTATTTTGAAAACCGTTATAGATAAAGAAATTCTGACATGAGTAAAAATTTTCAGAATGTTGAGCTCTACCAATTGTCCATATGTATCAAACTGTCAGACAACTTATTATAGGAGTTATTGCCCATAAATGACAAATTTTAACATTTTCTTTTCATTTTCACCTGTTATCTTGAAAACTATGATAGATAGAGAGAAACTTCAAATTGCTAAAATAATCACCAAGACAAATTCTACAAATAAGTCTAACAAGGTCGAAAAATCGTCAGTCAACTCCTTATTAGAGTTATTGCCCTTTGATGACGATTTTTACCAATTTTTTGCGTTTTTACCTTATATCTTAACAATTATAATAGATAGATAGAAACTTAAATAAGCAAAAATGATCAGCAAGACAAGATCTACAATTAAGACAATATGAAGGAAATCATCCGACAACTCCTTATTAGAGTAATTGCCCTTTACCGATTTTTACCATTTTTTTTGCATTTTGCCTTATATTATAACAATTATAGTAGATGAATAGACACTTTAAATCTCAGAAATGATCAGCAAGGCAAGATCTATTAACAAGTCAAATTTTGCTGATATAGTTAGTAGTCTGTCACTCTTTATAGGAGTGATTGCCCTTAAATGAGGATTTTTTAACCCTCTTTTGTGTTTTAAGCAAAAACTAAACAGACTAAATGATCAGTTATACAAAATCAACAAAACAGAGATTTTTATCATGAATTCTATTTTGTCTACAATGTTGGATAGTATCATTTGTTAAATTTGCACATAGCCCAAGGTGGGTGAGACAGGCTCTTTAGAGCCTCTAGTTTAGTATACTGAAGATAATTTTAGATCTGTTTTTCCAGAACAACTTGACTCCATTCATTAGAAATGTGACAATTCTGAGACTGTCAATGCTGTAATATTGTTATATTGTAAAATGCAAAAACTTAGTAAATGCAGAAGACTGGTTTATCATGCTATTCTAACACAGCTGTTAATTCAATTTAGGTTCCTGTTTAAAGGGGTAAACAAAAAAATTGTTTACTCTTATTTTATATGTATCATGAGGGGATATGACAAAAATCTGTATTTCTTAATTCATCAGATTTGCCTTTATTTTTTGCTCTCATTGCAATTAAATATTGTTGATGAATTTATTTGAAGGAATGGATGGACGAACTGTTAAAGCTTGATGCACACTTTGACAATGAAGCAAAATACGGACTGGTAGATGGCACGTTAAAGAAACCCACGATGAAGGAAGACGCTATAGACTGTATGGTGGGATCCTACAGGAAGTTAGATGTTTAAAACTGACAGTTTTGTCATCGAATGTATTTTGTCTTGTTTTTTTCTGATAAAGACGTTATCTCCCTTAGCAGATGTTCTTACCATAATCTCTCTGTTCGGACATGGATATGTCTTTAAATTCAGTGAAAGACTGACCATGACTTACTATCTCATTGTTCAGTTATTTAGGACCACTCCCAGATTTTTAAGAAAATCATGTTGTGTGTACGTTTATAAGATTATGAAAATTCGATTATTTTTTAACATGATAGAACTGGTGAACAGAAAATTTTGCATATCTAATAATTGTCTTTGGGTTTTAAATATCATGATTTCGAAAAATCATGATTTCTATGGTAATCTATACATCATTATCATTAGAAAATCGATAGGACATCTTGGACTGTCATATGTTTATTGAAGAGAAAAGTTGTTCTTTTTGGCCTAAGGGCATATTTATGAGTTTTACCAATCAGACTTTGCCTATTTCAAGCCTTGTAATTTTTGTAAAAACTTTTCCCTAAAAACACAACTTGAGTGATATGAAAATTTACATAAACGAAGTCTTCTAAAGTTAAGAAAAAAACCAAAGAAAGTTTCCATAAATTAAGTTTGTTAATAACTACAGACAGAGAGACCCCAAAACTTCCCAACAAATAAGCCCTGCTAAGGTAGATTACTTCGAAATTGGAGAAAGATAACTGTAAAAATTTATATGGGCTGTTCTGTATTGTCAGAGATTTATACGTGTTTATCTAAATACAATAGTGATTGTTTTAAGCTATTTTAAAGACATTTATTTGTATATTTTTTACAAAAAGGAGAAAGTTGTGGTAAATTGATATATATTGCATGACTTTTACAGAATCAAAAATGGTCTGTTTATGCAGTGTTTTCATGCATAAATCACACCTTTCAGATGATAAAATGTTGTATCTCAGGTCTGTTTCATATCAAAGCATGTAAGGTTACCATAAGGGGATGATCTATTCAGTTATATAACTGACTTTAGATAGTTTCCTTTTAGAATGTATTTCAAAAGTAACTGGACTTTTTAAAAGTTGTCAGAAAATGGCACTATATGAAGGATGTAGCGGTATTTTCAGATTTTCAGTTAATTTTATTCCAAAGCTGAGTCATACCTAAACCATGTGAATACACTTTTGTATTGCTGCTTTGCTATATGGTATCAAGTCTTCACCCCCAGGATAAATACATATATAAATAGATATGGGAATCCACCTATTTAAAACTTTAACCTCATACTGTAAAGTTAATGCAATGTTTTTGTACATTAAAAACACAACGATGAACTTTGTTACAATGAAGAATTGTATTTTAATTCTTTATGGTAATATTTGGGTGAATCTTTTATAAAGATACAATTTTGTCATTTAATTTAGTTAATCTACATTATTTTCCATTGTCTTATTATAGGATTTAGGCATGAAATTGTCAATTTGCAGTATGTTTAAATAAACAGTTTTGTAATTAGAATGTTGTAGTTTTAAGCTGAATTAAACCTAATGTATGTACTAATATTTGGAAATGAGGACAGAAATCTTGTTTTATACAAGTAAAATGAATTGTCATTTGAAATATTTGTTTAAGTTTTGGAACTATTAACTCTGTTTATAGAATCTCTTGATAGTTTATTTTTCCTTTAAAGCATATTTTTTTATTCAATTATTTTTACTTATGTAGAAAATGATGGATTAAACCTGGTTTTATAGCTATCTTAACCTCTCATATAAAATTCCATTATATTGATAACAATGTGTGAACAAAACAAACAGACATAATAGGCAAAAATGTCAAAAATTGGGGTACAGCAGTCAACATTGTGTTATAATCTTAATCACTGTAAAAACTAACAAGCTAGCATGTTTTAATTGTATTGTTTTACAAAATTAGCTTGTTCAAAAGATAAGCAATAATTTCCCTAAAACACTTGGGTACAAAGGGAGATAATTTTAATCTGTTAGGGAAAGATAACTCACTTACGTTTGTGTTTTAGGGTTTTTTGCATGTATAGTCATAAAAAGTAACCAATTATATTTGCCTAATTGCATTGTGGCTCAAATCAAATGTAAAACATGTTAGAAATTAGCTTTTTGGTATGTTATTGAAAGCTGATGCAAATGTTTTTGTTAATTTGTTAACTATTTTCATACAAAATAAAAGTTTTTGACTTTGATTTTTCTTTGTTTACTTGATTTCTGAATTCCATGATGGTATTTTTGTAATGTGATACCAGCTCCACCTGACTAAATTCATTTTACACAATTTATGGAATGACAAATTTCTGAAGGCAGTTGCTGCTAAAGGAGAAGGTATGATAAGGCCACATTTTTGGCTCCTTGAATTCAAAAATACTAAAGTATTAAAAAAACCTATCAAAAAGCATTGATTTTCATGAGACATCCATCTGTCAGAAATCAATATTGAAAGTGTTTTATAGATTGGCTAAGGTATTTGCCTTAGGGCTTCAGACTTAACTTAAAGTCATATGAAACTTCAAATTTAAAAATAAGTTGAATATGTTTTATATAATTGAATTGCAAAGTTTTACTACAAAACAAGTGAAAATCCTTTATATTATCAACATCTTCATAAATGTACTGCTTTTGAATTATTGTCTTCCTGTACTCTATTAAATTTGCCGATATTTTTCCGTATGCAGTGACCTTATCTACGAGACCTCTTGTTAGAACTTTGGCCACTGCACAGCACAAGTGCAAGAGAAAAATGAAAGAATGTAAACAAACGTGCACTGGAAGGTAAATAGTGATATCTGATTCTAAAAGAACAAATAAATACACCAAAACATTGAACAAATATTTAGAAAAAGTTTAATTAACAAATGGGAACACATGGCTCTATCAATTCACTTATTTCTCATGTGCTCCACATGCTCTGTGTTAAATGTCACTTTTTAGTAAACTTCAGGAGCAAACTTGAAAGTTAATTAGCTTGCGATCAACAATCACTGAATGAAATATTTATTTGTCAATAATACACGTTATAGATTCGTAGTAAATTTAAAAAACGTTTTTTAGTATATATGCATGCATTAGTTTAGTAATTTCGATAACATTATAATTACAAGAAACTCGTTTCATATGACTTTAACTTTGAAAAGCAGATATAAATTTACTATTTCTGCAATATCTGGCACAAAATAATGGTTCTCATCATTCCCTTGCCTTTAAATATTGAGCATCTAGAAAGACTGTGATCTTATTTCTGAACTGTAATAGAAATATCAAAATGTCTAAAGGAATTCATTTCACTGGCACTGTATGTATGATGAACAATGTTAAAAATCACATAAACAAATGTCCTTAATGCAATAGAGTAGTGAAAAAACCTAGGACTTCCCAGCAAAATTGTATAGTTGGTCACCCAATGGATGTAATAGTTTCATATGTAATTTATCCCTTACCAAGAACAAAAAGGAGCAACCAGTATATTTTAGAAATCGTGGCCCATTTCAGACACTAGGTGGTTGCCTATCCACCTCCCAACCAACAAGCAACCATGGTGTCAGAAAAAAAAATACTTCAGTGGTTGTAGTTGGTTGCTATCCTATTTGGTTTTTATTATACGACCGCAAAATTTTTTTTTTGTGGTTGTATATTGGTATGACGTTGGCGTCGTCGTCGTCATTGTCGTCGTCGTCGTCGTCCGAAGACACATTGGTTTTCGCACTCTAACTTTAGTTTAAGTGAATGGATCTCTATGAAATTTTACCATAAGGTTCAATACCACAAAAGGAAGATTGGGATTGATTTTGGGGGTTATGGTACCAACAGTTAAGGAATTATGGGCCAAAAATAAGCATTTTTGTAACTTCCAGACATAACTTGTGTGTTAGTGTATGGATCTCTCTGACATTGTACCACAAGGTTTCATATCATACAGGGAATGCTGGGTTTGATTTTGGGGGTAATTTGCCTCTAAATTTTTGGAATTAGGGGCCAAAAAAAGGGGCAAAAAAACAAGCATTTTTCTAGTTTCATGGCAATAACTTGTGTTCAAGTGTATGGATCTCTCTGAAATTGTACTACAAGGTTCCATATCACAAAGGGAAAGCTGGGTTTAAGTTTGGGGGTAATTGCCCTAAACGGTAAGAATTTGGGGCCAAAAAGGGGCCAAAAAAACAAGCATTTTTCTAGTTTCCAGACAATAACTTGTGTTCAAGTGTATGGATCTCTCTGAAATTGTATGAATCATAAGGGGGTTCAAAAAATTGAGGGGGATTTTTTTTCTTTTTTTTTCTTTAAAATTTTCCATTTTAAATTGGTTATTTCTGATTTATATATAAAAGCAAATAATAATGATAGTGTTTGAATAGGTAAATTAAAATTTTTTAAGTTCTTTGACCACATTCATTCTGTGCTGTATCAAGCTTGAATGTTGTGTCAATACTTGCCCCAACTGTTCAGGGTTCGACCTCTGCGGTCGTATCAAGCTGCGCCCAGCGGCGCATTTTATTTCAATAAGGCTGTTGGGTTTATCTTTTGAATTGTTTTACAGTTTTCATGTCGGGGTCTTTCATAGCTTACTATACGCTATGGGTTTGACGCAGTTTGAAAGGCGAATGGTGACATGTATTTGCTTACATCTAAGTCATTATGTATCTGGCAGATAGATGACTCATTGACAACACATCACGTCTGTTATTTTTAAATTGACCTTTGCTTATAGTATCTGAAAAACCGACCTTATCATAAAAACATGTTGTTTACTAATAAACCATGAAAATAACGAGACAGCCAGAGTAACTGTTTCAGACAGGAACGTTCAACTATTACTAAGAGTATCCTGTGAAATGTACATCATTTGGTCTCTTGTGGGGAGTTGTCTCATTGGGAATCATACCACATCTTTTTATTTTTATTTGAGCACAAAAACTTAAGGTTATTCAATGAAAAAGATGTTAGGGTACGATGATCCCTGCCATACAGGCATGTACAGTTCTTCTTTAAACAAGATAGAGATAACTAACTCCTTATAGTATGATAAACGGGTAGTATATATCAGACGGACGTAAGCACGGTAGTAAACGTTGACTAATGCATCACTAGGAAAGTGGGATCTGAACCATGTCTGGGGTATTTACATTTATACCTTGTAATATTTTCATATACCAATTATATTAATTTTTTTCCTCATAACTGGGCAAAATAATGTGATAACATCTGTAAATTCTAACAGTCGTTGAAACGAGAGCCTAACAACTGACACATAAATTAAGGCAACAGTAGTTTATTAATGTTCAAATCTCGTAAATAGATTAGGAAGAGACAAACCAACGTAACAAACAGACAATGAGGGAATTGCATGAACTCAAAAAAGGAGCGAGACCAGATGCGTCAACAAGATAAGCGTCTCCTGCTATGCACGAATCATACCCATGCGAACTAACACTCATTAAAAATCAAACAATTGACACATACGCTAAATGGAAACTAAATTCATTATGTAGTCGACAGAAGATTTCAGTAATTTTACCCTGTCAGTTAGTTTTATCTTGCTGATTACATTTGGTCTATAGGTTTTTATCTATTAACTTTGGTAACGACATTAACGGTACCAATTTTACTGCCCTAGATGTGAATTTCGACAATTAATGTCTCTTTAGTGAAGCTCGATTTTTGTCTGTATGTTTGCTTAAAAACTTTTATTAAGTGTCGACTGATAATGTTGACACTATTAAAATGTGTGTGCAACATGTTTTTACTGACCATATTTATTATTTACAATGCACCTCTTTCTCCAAAAGTTTTTAAAAAGCTCATAAAATTAAATGTAGACGATATTCAAGGGCAGTAACTTATATAAGGAGTCGGCATATGAGATGTTTACTTTTTACTTTTACACTTTCTCTCTATATCACTGTCTTATGGACAGCAGTATTGAATGAAACGCTGAGAAGTATCGTATCACAGTGGAGGGCAATATAATGTTTATGTCAATTGTGCTGACTTGGGGCAGTAGATTTATCACGATGATTGCCACTTGATAAGTTATCATAAAATTCAATTGATTAAAAACAACCACAAGAATATTTATACCAATGAAACATGACTAAGTTTAACCCAATGCAACATGACCAAGGTTATACAAATGACACATGATCCAAGGTTACACCAAAGAAACATGACCCAGGTTTAACCAATGAAACATGACCAAAATTATACCAATGAAACATGACCAAGGTTATACCAATGAAACATGACCAAGTTTACACCAATGAAACATGACCAAGGTTATACCAATGAAACATGATCCAAGGTTGTACCAATGAAACAGGACTAAGGTTATACCAATGAAACATGACCAAGTTTACACCAATGAAACATGACCAAGGTTATACCAATGAAACATGATCAAAGGTTACACCAAAGAAACATGACCCAGGTTTAACCGATGAAACATGACCAAGATTATACCAATGAAACATGACCAAGGTTATACCAATGAAACATAATCCAAGGTTGTACCAATGAAACATGACCCAGGTTATACCAATGAAATATGATCCAAAAGAGGGACGAAAGATACCAGAGGGACAGTCAAGGTTATACCAATGAAACATGACCAAGATTATACCAATGAAGCATGATCCAAGGTTATACCAATGAAACATGACCAAGGTTATACCAATGAAACATGATCCAAGGTTGTACTAATGAAACATGACCCAGGTTATACCAATGAAACATGACACAAGGTTATACCAATGAAACATGACCAATGTTATACCAATAAAACATGATCCAAGGTTAAACCAATGAAACATGATCCAGGTTTAACCAATGAAACATGACCAAGATTATACCAATGAAACACGACCAATGTTATACCAATGAAACATGATCCAAGGTTATACCAATGAAACATGATCCAAGGTTCTACTAATGAAACTTGACCAAGGTTATACCAATGAATCATGACCAAGGTTATACCAATGAAACATGATCCAAGGTTATACCAATGAAACATGATCCAAGGTTATACCAATGAAAAATGACAAAGGTTATACCACTGAAACATCAAAGGTAACACCAAAGAAACAAGTTCCAGGTTTAACCAATGAAACATGACTGTCACAAAGATTATACCAATGAAACATGACCAAGGTTATACCAATGAAACATAATCCAAGGTTGTACCAATGAAACATGACCCAGGTTATACCAATGAAAAATGATCCAAAAGAGGGACGAAAGATACCAGAGGGACAGTCAAGGTTATACCAATGAAACATGACCAAGATTATACCAATGAAGCATGATCCAAGGTTATACCAATGAAACATGACCAAGGTTATACCAATGAAACATGATCCAAGGTTGTACTAATGAAACATGACCCAGGTTACACCAATGAAACATGACACAAGGTTATACCAATGAAACATGACCAATGTTATACCAATAAAACATGATCCAAGGTTAAACCAATGAAACATGATCCAGGTTTAACCAATGAAACATGACCAAGATTATACCAATGAAACATGACCAATGTTATACCAATAAAACATGATCCAAGGTTATACCAATGAAACATGATCCAAGGTTCTACTAATGAAACTTGACCAAGGTTATACCAATGAAATATGACCAAGGTTATACCAATGAAACATGATCCAAGGTTATACCAATGAAACATGATCCAAGGTTATACCAATGAAAAATGACAAAGGTTATACCACTGAAATGATTAGACATATAGAACTGTCTTTTACTGTTTGTTTACTAATGATACCCTCATTTTAAGACTTTGGTAATCAGGAAGTTGGACAAAAAGTAATCTGAAAACGCATTACACAATAACAATGGATAAAGCATGTTCATATGAAGTCTGATAACAAATTATAGGAACACTTATTTGTAGTTTCCAAGACAAATGCGACGAAATTTCATACATGGCTTGTATGTTATTGAATAATATACAAATATTCAGTTAACAGGAAGTTGATGAGCAATGAATCTCATACCGTGTCACATGGTGCAGCATGCTTATATGAATCAAGATAACAAATTTCAGGAAGCTTTTAATTTGTATTTCCCTAGAAAAATGCAACAAAAATTTCATACATGGCCATTAGGTTTAGAATATGAAAGTATTCACTGAACAATAGTTTGATTAGTAATGAATCTGAAACCACTTGACATTGTATAGCATGCTTAAAATCAATCCATGTATCAAATTTTAGGACGCTCTGATTTGTAGTTTCCAAGAAAAATGCGAAGACAATTCCATACATGGCCATTATGTTAAGAATATATAAGTATTCGGTAAACAGAAAGTTGATCAGTGATGAATTTGAATCTGTGTGACACCGTAAAGAATGCTGACATAAAGCCATATAACAATGTTTTTAATATTCCTACTTGACACAGGCCTGATTTAACTATTTCTCTAAGACACAACCTCGTTTTTTAAAACAGCAGAAACAGTTGTGTCGAGACTGACTTGAGTGTGCACTGCAGTTTTAGATATTTTGTGGAATTTTTAATATGAACAAAATCAGGAAATTGCAACAGATCATGAATAATATTTGCAAGTTTAGTTGTAAATCTGTTTTTGTGTAGCAAAATAGCTAATTACAAGATGAAATTTAATGTATATAATTACAATTAGCCAATTATGAATATACATGTAATAAGTCCTGTTTCACATAAAGTATAAATTCAAACATTGCATAATCATTATAACTATAATTATATATCTGTTTTATCTTTGAAATAAATGCACAATACTAGTATGTTTGTTTCGTCTTGCAATGTCTAATGGTGTCAATCCTCTCCATTTAATGTTACAGTCTGCTTCGTGTTTCAATAACAATTCAACAATCTCTGTATTACCTTTATAACAAGCTACAAATATTGGGGATTCTCCTGTTTTTCTACACTTATTGATATCTGCCTTATTGTTTATTAACATCTGAACTATCTCAGTATGTCCTTCCTGACAAGCAATGTACAGAGGTGACGATCCATTTACTCTGCACTTATTGATGTCTGCCTTATTTTGTATTAACATCTGCACAACCTCAGTATGTCCTTTCAAACAAGCAATGTTCAAAGGAGATGCTCCAGTCTCTGTACATTTATTAATGTCTGCCTTATTGTTAATTAACATTTGAACTATCTCAGTATGTCCTTTCCAACAAGCAATGTACAGAGGTGATGCGCCAAAATCTCTGCACTTATTAATGTCTGCCTTATTGTTTATTAACATCTGAACTACTTCAGTGTGTCCTACCTGACAAGCAACGTACAGAGGTAATGCTCCCATATCCCTACACTTGGTAATGTCTGCCTTGTTTTTTATCAACATCTGGACTACTTTTATATGTCCTTCCTGACAAGCAATGTACAGAGGTGATGCTCCCGTATCTTTACACTTATTAATGTCTACCTTATTGTTGATTAACATCTGAACTACCTCATTATGTCCTTTCTCACAAGCAATATACAGAGGTGATACCTCTTCAACACTACACTTATTAATGTCTGCCTTACTGTTTATTAATAGCTGAACTATTTCAGTACGACCTTTCCAACAAGCAATATACAGAGGTGATGCTCCCATATCTTTACACTTATCAATATCTGCCTTATTGTTTATTAAAATCCGAACTACTTCTGTGTGTCCTTTCTCACTGGCAATGTACAGAGGTGATGTTCCAGTCTCTGTACACTTATTAATGTCTGCATTATAGTTTATTAACATCTGAACTACTTCTGTGTGTCCTTCCTCACAAGCAATGTGCAGAGGTGATGTTCCAGTCTCTCTACACTTATTTATGTCTGCATTACTTTTTATTAGCATCTGAACTACTTCTGTGTGTCCTTCCTGACAAGCAATGTACAGAGGTGATGCTCCAGTCTCTCTGCACTTATTAATGTCTGCATTATTGTTATTTAAACACCATTTAACAACAGCAATATCGCCTATAAAACAACACTGTATCAAAGGAGTATTATTGCTATTAATGTCATATGAACTAGCCAATTGTTTCTGTTGTGATATTTCCAAACCTTTAATATGAAGTAGGAATTTTTGTCTAAAAAAATGATCGTTCATGTTGATGTTACAAAAGACATCTTGTATATTTCCTTTTGACCAGTCATTTACCATTCTCTTAATATATATTTGCTGATATTTTTCTGATAGAATGATCGTAAACTCATCATTCTTCCTTTTTTTCTCAGACATGAACCTTTCACTAATAAAACGACTTGTAGCATTGTTAATCAAACAATGAATCATAACACTTCCAAAGTAAAAAGCAAGAAAGTCGAACAGTTTGTCGTGAATAGTTCGGTACACATCCCCGTCCTTTCTGATGAATGTATGACAGAGTGAATCAAGCTCATCACGAATAACCAATCGTGATGTTCCTTTTATTACCTTACAAGCTTCATATGTGTTCTTTATGTTTTTTTCCCTATCTTTATCCACATCTTCAACAAGCCATTCTTCTTTCAGATAATTGTTAAACACAACACATAAAGCGAGTGCACAGTATTTGTCATGTGCTCCTTCTATCTGTAAGTTATCTATTTCTTCTTTGTAAACTGTAAAAGGATTCTTAAAGAAATCGACAACATTCAGACTTGTGTTTTTGCTGTATAATTGACACAAAAGAGGAAAACAGTCAAACATGTCATAATATTCTTTAATTTCAGATGCTTTTGTTTTCAGGTAAAACTCAGCAATTGATTGTTTTTCTGTTTTCGACAAACGCAAACCTTCAGACAACAGATTGCATTCACAGGATAGGAAAAATGACAAAGCTTTCATTTTTTCATCTTTGTAAACCTGTAGTCTACAAGACATAATTATTTTAACTTGTTTTTTTTCTACTAATGTTTTGATTATCTGCATGCAATTTTTCCAGTTCTCATATTTCGTGGGATTTAAAGTATATGTTCCACAAAAATCATCTACTACAAACAAGTTTTTTTTATTGGGATTGTACCACTTGTCAATCTTTTTAGGCATTGATACTGGTAATATATCAAAGCCATGTGTTTGCATCTGTAGAGCTACATGGCGTACTAATGATGATTTTCCACACCCAGAACTTGCGGTAACAACAACACAACCCTTTTCTTTGATTAATTTTAATATTCTTTTAGCTGCTTCAGTTTGTATATATGTTTTGTCATCTTCTTTCCATGTTTCTAATTCATCTTTAATTTGTCCTAAAAAAAGATCTCTGATTATTCTTCAATAATGTTGAACAAAAGACTGTGTATTTCCTTATCGATCATAATTTCATACACGAGGTTTAGATCCTTATATTTTAAAGACACTATATATATGAGGAAACTAGAGCTAACAAGTAGAAAAGTCCTATCTTTTCATCTAATCATGATGATTGAATTATGTTTAACATCATGTGGCAAATATCAAATGTATATAAGCATGATCAGGTTGATTACATGTTGATGTGACATGAATATAAACCCTGCTTTGTACTATACGAACACACTGAGTTGGATTTTTAAATTTTTAGTTCACATGGTAACAGCGGACACGAAGGTATGTCTCCTTCCTACACACATTATTCTGATTCAAAGCCGACCAGTCTTAATAGTTTGCTTTTACTCCTAAATAACGTATGATTAGAGAAGGAGCAAACACCAATGTTCAAGCCTTTGGGTTGACATTGCCGGAAATGGATACCATGACCGCCAACACTCAATGCAAACACGCTACCATGAAATCACTGAAATGTTATCTGTATATTTGATCATGACTGAATATATAATTCAAATCAATGTCAAACTAAATGGTTCACAAAAACTCTATTGATTTGATTCATATAAGTCCATCGAGTAAAACTCGTTACGGAGGAATCAAGGCCAAAAATATAAATATAGTTGTTTCATGCCTCCTGGCAAAATAAACAAAGAGGGTATGTAGACAAATTTTGTTTCTTAAATATTTATATCGACTATATAGGGATATGTTCTGGACTTTAACGGTGTTAAACAATAATCAATGGACTTTAACAGTGTTTAGCTGAATACGTCTATGTCTTAAGTAGGCATGACAATTTAGGTTAGATAGATAGGAAGGAAACACAACTATATTTTTTGGCCTACGTACTGTGCTAATTGTCAATGAATCTTAGATATGTTCGATTGATTGATTATTTTTTGTGTTATTTCAAGTGGCAAATATTTCAAAGCCTATCGTGATGAAAAAGAGTAGACATGTAGACATATCTTTTCGCACATGGCTTATCATAACTGAATATATTGTAAATGCTGTCGAGGTCATGTGATCGCTAAATATGGATCATTATATATTAGACCGTTGATTTTTATGTTTGAATTGTTTTACGCTAGTCTTTTTGGGACCCTTTATAGCTTGCTGTTCGGTTTAAGCCAAGGATCCGTGTTGAAGGCCGTACTTTGACCTGTAATTGTTTACTTTTTACACATTGTGACTTGGATGGAGAGTTGTCTCATTGGCACTCATACCACATCTTCTTATTTCTATTAATAAAATCATGAGATGAGGTATGAATGCCTGTGAAACAAATATCCACTAAAGACCAAAGAGAAGGGTTATAAATACCTACAATATGCCCTAAATAAGCCAAACTTACATCCAGACACAGTTATTATATTACTTATACTAGAACTACATATTCTAGAGGTGGCGTGAATCAGATGTGGATACTAAAAAAATCCAAAGATCTTTTAGAGAACATACAATCTGAGACTCTTCATCTTGCAATAGTATTAACACATTTGACTTTTCTACACTTTACACAAGTGTTCCCCATTCCAAACTAAAGAACAAATTGAAAGAGTTGGTCCTACTTTGTTTCATAAAAAAGAATGGCCAACGTAGATACAAGTATCTTGTCTTAGGGAGGGATAAATCCTACTTTGTAAAAAATCACTCTGATTGTAACAAAAAAATCTCTGAAACTGACATTATCAAGATGCTTGATTTCTTGATTGACAACATATTTGTTACGTTTGGAGGACGTATTTTTCAACAATCGGCATTCCCATTGGAATCAACTGAACCCCTCTTTTTGCCGACTTGTTCCTGTATTCACATGAGGCTGACTTCATAAAGGAACTTCTTAGGAAGGAAGAAAAGAAGTTAGCAGTATCCTTTACTTTCCGCTACATAGATGATACTCTCTCACTAAATAATTAAAAATTTGGTGACTATGTTGAACGCACCTATCCCATCGAACTTGAGATAAAGGATACAACAGATACAGTTAAGTCTGCCTCAAATCTTGACTTACATCTAGAAAGTGACACTGATGGTCGGTTGAAAATAAAACTTTATTACAAAAGAGATGATTTCAGCTTCCCAATTGTGAACTTTCCATTTCTATGTAGCAACATTCCAGCAGCGCCTGCATACGGAGTATATATCTCCCAGTTGACACGATACTACAGGGCTTGCAATTCCTATCATGATTTCCTTGATAGAGGGTTGCTGCTCACAAGGAAGCTATTAAACCAAGAGTTCCAAGTGGTGAAGTTGAAATCATCCCTCCGTAAATTTTACGGACGCCATCACGAGTTGGTTGACCGTTACCGAATATCCGTTTCACAGATTAGAGGATATGTTCCTGATGTCGTAACTAAAATCCCGTCCCCTTTTCCTGAATGTGATCTACCAAATTAGACTTATAACGGATTTGTACTAGCATGAGCAACACGACGGGTGCCACATGTGGAGCAGGATCTGCTTACCCTTCCTGAGCACCTGAGATCACCCCAAGTTTTTGGTGGGGGTCGTGTTGCTCAGTCTTTAGTTTTCAAATGTGTTTTGTGTACTATTGTTTGTTTGTTGGTCTACTTCTTTGTTAGCCACGGCGTTGTCAGTTTATTTTCGACTTATGAGTTTGAATGTCCCTTTGGTATCTTTTGCCTCTCTTTTATAAACTTAACATAATGATTGACTATGTAGTGACGCTGTTTGTCGAAATGCTCATCTGATCTGGTAAAGCTGGCACAGTCTAATGTTATCATACTACTGCTGGTTGACTGTTAGTTAGATATCTGGTAAAGTTAGTAAAGTCTAATGTTAGCACACAACTGCTGGTTGACTGTTTGTTAGATATCTGGTAAAGTTAGTAAAGTCTAATGTTAGCACACAACTGCTGGTTGACTGTTTGTTAGATATCTGGTAAAGTTAGTAAAGTCTAATGTTAGCACACAACTGCTGGTTGACTGTTTGTTAGATATCTGGTAAAGTTAGTAAAGTCTAATGTTAGCACACAACTGCTGGTTGACTGTTTGTTAGATATCTGGTAAAGTTAGTAAAGTCTAATGTTAGCACACAACTGCTGGTTTCCTGTTTGTTAGATATCTGGTAAAGTTAGTAAAGTCTAATGTTATCATACCACTGCTGGTTTACTGTTTGTTAGATATCTGGTAAAGTTAGTAAAGTCTAATGTTAGCATACAACTGCTGGTTTCCTGTTTGTTAGATATCTTGTAAAGTTGGAACAGTCTAATGTTATCATACAACTGCTGTTTGTTAGATATCTTGTAAAGTTGGTACAATCTAATGTCATCATACAATTGATGGTTTACTGTTTTTTTTTAGACATCTTGTAAAGTTGGTACAGTCTAATGTTATTATACAATTTCATTGACAATATCTCCTATAAGGGATCAATTTTCGATTTATGTTTTTAGACTTATCTATCTTATTTTATTTTAAACTATTTCAAGTTTTTTTTTATTTGTTTTGCCATCTGTAGTTGTGCGTGTAAGTTTTTGCTAAAAATTGGTAAAAATAACTCCCAGAAGTTGTCAATTGACGATTTAGTATATTGTGTGTGCTTTAAAATATAATATGTGACAAATTATCCAAATTCAAATGGTAAAAGTCCCGTAACTTTGGAACGACGCACCAGAAAAACATAGTAAAAGGGAGCTCCTTTTTATCAATCCCAACAACAATGTAAGGCTTTTCGGAAATCTATTTATGTATACTGGAATTAGTGAGCGATATGTGAAAAAATCCCTTAATTCAGATGTTTAAAGTCCCGTAACTCTGGAACGACAGCGCCAAGCATTTTCAAAATCAACAGAGGGCTTTCGTTCATCAATCCATATGTTGTGTTAACATTACATGAGAAACAGTTAAGTCAAATTGGAGCTATCGTACGAAGTATTGGTGGTTGGACGGAGGAACAGACTGACGGACATTGGTATATCGTAATACTTCCTGTCTTCGACGGGCATATAAAAGAAATGATTACGATGGATAAAAAATGATGAGTAGTAAAATTGCCTTACATCCATTCTGAACGAATGTTTTAGTCCTATGTATGCTTGGAATAATGCCAAACAGATCAGCATATTATCAAAGAATGGAAAAATATAATAGAAATTGAAGAATTCAATAACATTAACCCCGTCAATTTTTCCCTGTATCAATACATATAATATACCTCTGATATTCCATGGTACTGGGTCTGTTAAAATTTCTGTGACTTTTGAGTTTCCAGCCTGTAGGGTACATTGGGTATCTTGTAACTCTCTCATATTCTCCATAATTTTCGAGTGTTCAGTATGTAAAGAACTGTGGGAAGTCTGTAAAATACTGTGTGAAGTTTGTAAGTCTCTCAGGTTTTCTTTCACTTTTGAGTGTTCAGTTTGTAAAGTACTGTGGGACTCCCTTAACCCTATAAGATTTTCTGTCACTTTTGAGTGTTCCTTCCACAAGCTGTCCATTGTTTGTTTCAGTTCTTTCATCTCCTCCAGTGATTGTTTGATTTCCAATATAATTTCCTGGTTAGACTGGTCTAATATTTTAACTTTCAACTCTTGACATTCTTGATACATTGATTGACCTCCCAATCGACCGACAGCCTAAACATAAATAGAATAGTTCAATGCATGATATGTTGAATTCCTTTAACAAATATTCTTTGTCTATGTACAATACTCGTTTTTAATTCAGTTAAATGAACCTTGCCTGTAAAACAATATAAAATAAGAAGATGTGGTATGATTGCCAATGAGACATCTCTCCACAAGAGACAAAATGACACAGAAAATAACAACTATAGGTCATTGTACGGCCTTCAAAAAGCCCATACCGCATAGTCAGCTATAAAAGGCCCCGAAATGACAAATGTAAACAATTCGAACGAGAAAACTAACGGCCTAATTTATGTACAAAATAATAAAAACAAATATGTTACACAGCAAAAAACGACAACCATAGAATTACAGGCTCCTGACTTGGGACAGGCACATACAGAATGTGGCGGGGATAAACTAGTTTGTTGGTGCCAAACCCTCCCTCTAACCTGGGACAGTGGTGTAACAGTACAACATTAGAACAAACAAAAAATCAGTTGAAAAAGGCTGAACTCATTAGATGGATACACATATGAATACATCTAACAAAAACACAAAGTGGACGTGGATGGATACTTTTACATCCAGACAACAGAAATAAATTCATAAAAAGCCAAAATATCAGCCTGGATGATAATTTTCAAGGTGAAGCAATTGAAATGAATTGTATTGACAAAAGGCGAAAGATACCAAAGGGACATTCAAACTCATAAACAACGCAATGCCAAAAACAAAAAGAGAGAAAAAAAAGCTGCAAAATGCTTTTATATTTTGTTTCACAAAGGGTCTCTATACCTTCGAATACAGTATGGGTTTTGTTCACTGTTGAAGGCATTGTAGTGACTTGTAATGTTCACATCTTTGTCCATTGGTTTATTGATAGTTGTTTTGTTGGCAATCATACCGCATCTATTCACTTTTATTTAAACAAATGTTATAGATGTTATATTGTACAATTCTAGATAATAATGTTTCCATAATAAATAATTCATTAACATGTATAACAAAGCGGTCCATGTGCTTGTTCAGCAGCAGTTGACATTTTGACTGCCTTTTTTAATACTTTCTGGACCACAGCTCCAGCAAGTCCTTGAAAGGTTTTCAGTTGTCAGACTAGTTCACATGATAAGAAAATGAAATCGATTGTTTGATCTAAGTTTTGATATATTTAAGCTTTGCATTTACAGTAGAATCAATATCCTACATGTCCAATATAAATCCAAGTATCCATGTTGAGACACACTTACATCTGATATCTCTCTCCAAGTTGCATTAAAATAAGCAGTGTCTATTGTATTACTATCATGATGAGCTAGTTTATTCCTGTAACATTTTATCCTGGCTAGATCAGATCCTGGAGTTGTCTCCCCTGGTATCGGTAGAGTGTCAAATCCATTGATTGGCTCAGTAATAGATGTCAAGTTTCTGATCAAACAGATCATCAACGTTACATCAAATGTTTTGGAATCAGGTACCCCTATAACATATAAAGTAACAAAAAAATACACTTATATAGTCCTAAACTCAGAAAAAAAATGTGTTTTCCAATCAGTTTCAAGTAACAGTTTTAAGCAGAAATATTTGCAGATAAATTTTTACTTTCAAAATAACAATGAAAATATTACCTCTATTAGTTATCATAAACTATCATATCTTTGAAGTTAAGTAATTTCATTTATATGATTATATAAATATGGAATATATGTAATTGTTTTGGGTTACAAATCATGCAGATAATAAATAAACTTCAATTATCGGCATTTTGTACATTTTCCCTGTGATGTTCAAAATCAAACATATCATCATTCTATATGTCTCAATTGAATCACATGTTTCTATCTAAATAAAACAGATTTTTGAATCTTTTTTTAAAGTAGTAGTAAAATCTGTAGGAATTGACACCTGTAAATAATATCTACAAAAGTCACTAATTTTAACATCACATTAACTCGTATCTGTACTTTTAAAAGTTACGTGTTAGAATTATACCCCTGACTGTACCATTTACCTTAAGCTTTTCTATGGTTCCAATATAAAAAAAGCACAGTGTTATTCAATCCTTTATGCACAAAGGCAACATCAATACAGAAGATTACTTTAATCCGACTTATGAGGTGGAATATCCATCTGATGTCTTTCACCTCACTTTTAATTTAACAACAAGAATGTAAAAGAAATTAGTACTGAGAAAATATTGAAGAAGCCATTTAAATGATTTATGTGTCTCAATACTGATACTAGAAGGACTGCTTCATACCTTGATCTTTTCCTCAATATTGACACAGATGGACGACTTCACACTAAAATATATGACAAACGGGATGGTTTTAACTTCCCAATTATCAATTTCCCATTTCTCAGCAGTTTCATACCCTCTGCTCCGTTGTATGGTGTTTACATATTTCAATTTAAACGTTATGCTCGTGCATGTTCACATTATATGGACTTCATATACAGGAGTATGCTCCTTACGCAGAAACTGCTCCAACAGAGTTATGAGGAAGACAGATTAAAAATGACACTCCGAAATTTTATGGACACCATCACGAATTGGTTGATCTATACGATGTGTATGTGTCTTAACTAACTAACGACATTTTTACCACGCCTTAGATTGTGGCTTACCATCTACGTTGTCTGTCTGCTAAGTCGAACGTGACATATTTCCAAATATGACTGCTTTGCCGAGTGTGAATTCGCATTGCTATACGAAGTGTCTCGGTATTTATACATCCAACATTCATGGATTTAGGTTCGATGTTTCTTTTGTAAGTACGGTTGGGTATTGTGTTTTGTCCTATCGTATGTGGTTTGAATTCTGTATTTTCGGTACATTTCCATATGTCTTATTTGTCAGTACAGTTGAGTTTTTTTCCATTTTCCATGGATGGAGTATTGTGTTAGTCCAAATAATTATGACGTCGTCACAACATTAATTTTAAAAAGCCTTTCAAGACCGTCATAATCATGATAAATATTTGGACTAGTATTGTGAAAATAATTGTGAATTTTTGGATCTCGTTCCATATAATTGTATAAATTTCAATATTACCTTTGATGATATATACGTCACAAAAATACGTCACTTTTTGTGGTGTTGATCCATTCATATGACGCGCAGTTTGTGGTGTCCTGTGCATTCGTTCATGGGAGATGTCCGTTGTTATTCTGCGGTTTACATGTTGTAATGTACTATTATATTATTTATCTATGTTTGTCTCTGTGCTGAGTGTTATTGTGTTTGTTTGTACTGTATTCCTGTCACGTAGTGTTGTCATTTTAGCGGTATTTTTTAACATTGCCATATAAGCAGGAGGTTTGGCTAGCCATAAAACCAAGCTCAATCCACCATTTCTTCTTAAAATGTCCTGTACCAAGTGAGAAATATTGCAGTTGTTATCAAATAGTCCGTTTCTATGTACGTTGGCGTTTGTTTTTATTGCAGTTCAGTGTTTCTGTTGTTCCGTTGTTTCCCTCTTATAGTAAATGTGTTTCTCTCGGTTTTAATTTGTAACCCGGATTTGTTTTCTCATAATGACCTTTAAACAGCGGTATAGTACTGTTGCCTTTATTTATAGATAACATATATTTTTGTTATATCAATTACCAGAAAAACATACATCTTTAAAGCTGTGTGTCTCATTTTAACTTAATGAAAATCAACACAATATATATAGTCACTTAAACATACCATTTCTTGGAATCAAAAGATTCCACTGAGCCTGGTTTATGATTCTCTTTAATTTCAAATCCAAGAGAGTGTTGTAGTTTGTATTCAGTGTTGAGGGCAAATAGGTAGGTTGAAATTCTCGGTCAAACAAAGTACGGACTGCTCTAGGTGTCACTCCTTTTAACAACAACGCTAATCGGACATAATTCTCCTCTTCTTCAAAAAGAGGTGCCATTATTTCAAACAATTATCTCTGTTGTACAATAGAAACATATGCTATTGTAACTTAATCTTGTTAATATGGCTAATGATTCCTGTCTTCCTGAAAATATATAAATGTCACTACATTCAAAAATAATTGTTGAGAGTATCTAAAGGCTCTGAGGATGTTGATTTTAATTTACATTACAAATTAAGATCTAAACTAGGGTCGTCAAGTAGCTTTTACCCCTCTCCTTGCATATTTGGCATACAATCGATAAAATGGAATAAAAGTCTTCATAGTTTCCGGCATATTCACAAAATTTAATTATGCAAGGGCAATATCGTCGTAGTCAACCTGATGATTGAGGTCATGCTAACTTATTTGTAGATCTTACTTTGCAGATTGTTTTTGTAATTATTAACAATAGCTTTTTATCTATTGAAGTTTCTGTACCATACTTAACAGTCTGAACTTGTACTCGAATAGTTCTTAACCATCTTAAAGAGTCTGTATCATACTCGACCCAGATCTGATCCATACTCGACCCTTGTCTCTGTACCATACTTTACCAAGTCTGCACCATACTCGATCAAGTCTACACCATAATCGACCAAGTCTGCACCATACTAGTACTAGACAAAGTCTTAACAATCCTTGACCTATTCTTAATCTATCTCTCTTAATTTTTCCATTTTTTGAGTCTTTTATTTACAAAAATTGTTTCCCTTGGCTAGAAATTTTACCAGGAGTTAATATATAAGAAATTAATTTGTCGGATACGAAAGATCAATGTAACAATAAGTAAGTAGTTTTTTGTTGAAAACAATATAGTTTTGCATTCAAGATGTTATTTATACTTTGGTCAAGTATGGTTCAGACTTTGGTCGAGTGTGGTTCAGACTTAAAAGTTCTTTGATATTGTTAAGACATTGAAAATAGATCATTAACCGGTTAAGAACAGGTTGAGTAGAGGTCAAAAATGTGTAAAGACTGTTTCACCCTGGTAGAGTATGAGTTAAGACTTTTCAACATGCTCAAGAGAAGGGTCAATTACATGTTTAGTATGTTAAGTATGGTTCAGACTACAGTTGAGTAATATAAAGTAGGAACTCAGAATGATTGAGTAAATATCAGTAAAGTCGAGAACAAAAAAATTGCCAATTTCAGAATTGTACTGGTTTGTAGTGTCTTGTTTGAATGATCATTTTGTTTCTTTTTATATTCCATCTACTACAATGTATTTCACATGAATATATTTCCAAGAAAACATAAATATAGGTTAACATCATCTTTCAAAGGAAATAACTCTTTTAAGGTGGCTCGGGTGTATTCCTCCATTTTGGATTTTGAAGTAGATGGTAACGTTAGTCTAGATCTTTGATGAAATGTGCAAACTTTGAGAGTAGTATGTAATTAATGTGTGAGAACTTTGGTGTAAATATAGATAATTGTGTGTTTTATCATAATTACGGCTGTAATTTCTCAAAAACATTTTATTTGTGTTTTTTTAATTGATTTTCAACTTTGCCAAATAAGGGGAGATAACTCATTTAAAGTAATTTTATAATAGAAAGTGTTATGAACTTACCTATTTTAGTCTGTAGCAAGAAAACAAGTTCGGTGACCCCATTTTTCTTTTTCTTATCTGAAAGCATTTTATAAGAGCTAGCTTCTCACATTTTATCTTAAAATTCTATCAAGTAGTTTTCTTTTTATCGAACAAAAATTTGATTTTCCATGCATAATCTACACAAAATCTGACAATTTTGCACAAACTGTAGCGTGAAAAAAAGTCAGGTGACCCATACTTTTTATTATATTTTTGAAAAAAGCATGATAAAAACTTCATTTTGACAAATTATTAAAAAATTATATCAGTTTTAATTAAGATGCCCCAGTCACCTTAAGTAATCCATTTAAGATTAGTTATTTTATTGAATATGTAGATCTTGTCCCGTTTTTTTTTTTATTTTCAGTTTTGGTTACATTTTCTCTCTTTCAATATAGTTCATGGATAAAACATAAAAAATGGGTAAAAACCGTAATTTTATTTTTAAGTACTTTAACAAATGCCGGAATCCAGGGTAAATTCAAAAAGAGGGAAGTCCATAAAACATGAAAAAGATCAAACACTCGACTGCATGTAAATCAAACAACGGAACGAATAGAAAACAGCTGTTTAGGAAAAAATAAGGAGTCAAAAGCGACATACAGTCATGTTGACTTATTCATAGATCCTTTCCGGTAAATATGTTTTTTAATCTTTGTTAGCCAAGAGTTACGATCCAGCCTCTTCTATGGAGAGAAGGGGTCGGATTGTAATCCCGGCCTTTCGAAGATGATTTTGTTTGGCATTTTACAGGTTCTCTCTATTTATTTGAGTTTCCGGGATAATAAGATAGAAAAAATTAAAAAAAAGAAACATTGTCATGTAAGGGGAATAACTTCAATAAAGAGTTGTCTGACACTTTTTGGAGAAAAAGACCAGCTGTAGAAAGGGTAGATATAAGATAGATCTTAACATTCTAAATGTTTCTTCATTTTCAAATTTTTCTCTATCTTTGAATGTTTTCATATTAACAGTCAATACTTGTAGTTTATCCCTATGAACGTTTTAAACCATTATCTATGTGCATCATAGACATGACCATAGATATCAGATAACACTCTAAAGACGTCTAGAAGAATGGCGTGCAGCATAAGATGATAACCCGGAGCAAATAGCTACAGTTCCTTTTGCTGCCTACCGCTAGAAATTTTGCTTCATCCGTTATCATAGTATGGTGTCAATTTAACTTCTTCAATCTTATTTGTAAAACAGGAAACAGTATATAAAAATAAAAAGTATTCTTATCATTTGGAGTGACATTCATAAGGGGGTTCCCCAGGGTTCTATCCTGGCCCCCTACTGTACAATGTTTAATCAATGTACATTTTTATTTATAAAAACTGCTCTCTGTATATTTATGCAGATAACAATTACTTTTCTTTTTATACTCTAGATTATGAGGTTTTAATTTCTACTTTAGAATCACAATCATTCAACTTATTAAATAGTTTTAAAAATTAAAAACATGCAGGCAAACTCTGACAAATTTCAGGTTTTAGCAGTTGCAAAAAAGACACAAATTCGTTCCAGCAACGATGCCAATATGTAAAATTGGTCAGAACTGAAGGGAGGACCGGAAAGTCCAAACAGCATATTCAATCTCCCTAAACATGCTAAAAGAGAAGTTTCGTCCTGGTGATAAAGTTTCTGTTCCATACTGCACAGTAGGGGACAATGTTTTTTAGATAAAAAAAAAAAGCGACTGATGAATCAATTTTCAGAATGTCATCCCAGGGGCATGGAGAAATGACAAACTACTTCTGGATTTTACCATGACAATACAAGGAACACTGGAATCCAGGAGGCAAGGCAAATTATAATATACCTGGATCACTTCTTTACCTCAAAGGCTTTTCGGTGCCATGACAGGACTGGATGATCCAGTAATTATTCCCACAAAGTAAATGTTTATGGAGTGAAACATTTTATTTCTGAAATTTGATAAAAAATAATATAGATATTAGAATAACTCGTAAAGTAAGGATAAAGGACCAACACATTAAGCAATTAATTTAATTTCCCACGGTCGGCCGAAGATTTTATACCATCCGGAGGTCTGGTGTCGCCTTCGTGACCAAGTTATCGTGTGGCCTTCATGTGTTCTGCAAATAAATATCGTAATAAGAATTAACATCTTTGTGTTGCCTTCGTGAAAGGTTTGGTGCCATCATGTGACCTTCTGTAGGCATTGCACTTGCTTCGGCTAATGATTGACTGTTGAGCGAGTTTAAGACCGTCTCCGCTCAAAATAAAAACATCCATATTCGTATGGCCATCTGGTGTCAATTGCGGGATAGTGTAACACCTGCATTAGTGAAGGTAGGACATTATGTGAAGACGGAAGATCACTTCTTAGTACAAAACGTTGGATCATCACTCTATATTTCCGACAGAGATTTGCCATGTTTAAAAAAAAATATAGTCAAAAGTATGGGTCACTATTTTTCAAGCTACAAATCTTCCAAAATTGCCCAATTTTGCATAGATTATTCCCGAAAAACATTTTTGACAAATAAAAAGAAAACTGTGAGATAGAATTTTGAAATAAAATATGAAAAAGATAGGTTTTGTAATATGCTTTAAGAAAACTAAAAATGGTGTCTTTTGTTTTCTTACTACAAGTAAAAATTTCACTATCATTCCAGTTTAAAATTTATACTATAAGAGAGAACTATAAATAACTATAAATTTTCACTTCTGTTCTCGAACTATGAACAACAAATTTAGCTATTTTGTAAAAAATATTTCCGTACTCCATGTACCCCTTACAACAAAATTATTATATATACCTGTGTACGTTATTTTATTTAACGCCATTTTGTCCAAGGTTATAGTTGTCTTTCTGATATTGTTTAACATCTCCCCCTTTTTTATTAATATTGTATTTACATTGTGTCATAGATCAAATGTATTCGTTTAGTGTATATTTACTTGTTTTTGTTAATATGTCTTTTGATTGAGTTAAGCCATTTCAGTTGATATTTTATAGTGTGTCTTTCTATGTTGTAATGTTACACTACTATTTCAGGTAAGGGTGAAGATTGGCGCCTGTTAAAACGTTTAAACCCGCTGAATTTGTTTGCATCTGTCCTAAGTCAGGAACCTATTTTTCAGTGGTTGTCGTTTGTTGATGTGGTTCATAAGTATTTCTCGTTTCTCATTTTTTATATAGATTAGACCGTTGGTTTTTCTGATTGTATTATTTTACACTAGTCATTTTGGGGCCCTTTATAGCTTGCTGTTTGGTGTGACCCAAGGCTCCGTGTTGATGGCCGTACTTTGACCTATAATTGTTTACTTTTTACACATTGTGACTTGGATGGAGAGTTGTCTCATTGGCACTCATACCACATCTTCTTATTTCTATTATCTCCCTTATATGGCTAAGTCGAACAATTGAATCGAAAAAAAAACAACAAATATTAGTATTTGTTAAAACAGTCTGAATAATGCAATAAATAACTTATTTTTCTGTTTTTAAATGAACAGTCTACCACATTGTTTGCCAATCCGTCTAAATATTTGCTGATTTGAGAACAGAACTGAACCGATTGTGTACTATTGTTTTACAATCAAAGATGGCGGTATACAGTTAATCTGCCTTATATAATTGTCTTTAAAATGCTGATTTTTCTGCATGACATTGTATGATTCAATATGGACACACAACTAGACAGTTACTTGGAATAAAACATATCTTGTTTCTTTTCTCCATTGTTATTTCCCTTGCATTTCTATAATGATCTAGGAACGTACTCTCTAGTATGTTTAGTATATGAAACTGCTGTATAATCATATAATATGTGTTAACACATCATATATGTTAACACAGGGGAATTGTTAATAAAAATAAATTGCTGATTGCACTGGGAGTTTACTATCATTTTTCATACATATCTACAATAACAATGTATCTATCCGTCTATATGTGAAATCGAAAGTAGGCTTACTTTTCATGTAATTAAACCTTGTTCTCTTTGTTCTTCTTTCTAAATATATGAGTATTTTCATCGCCACTCCTGGATATCTCTGTATTTAATGTATTTTTAAGATGGTTCGATTAACAGACGAACTTGGAAGGAAAGCGTCTTTTATTGGCAGTGTCACATGTCATGTGATATTCAGACGGGAGATAACTGCAAAATATTGTTGTGGACAGTAATTTACAACTTCGTATCTATTACTATTATTTATTTGATTATGAAGTGTGCTTTATATGTTTTACTTTGATTTTTTAATGTGTTTTGCAGATGTAATTTTTTATCAAACTGGTTGCCTGATTTACCGTCTAATTTATATAAGAGAGTCAGTATTGATTTTTATCACTAGTTGTGAAAGAATGTAGAACACAGATATGCAGTCAGGTATAACGATACACATACGTTCATTTAGATGAATTACCTGTACTGATCATATATTAACAGGTGATTAAATACAATTATAATGGAGTGACCAAGCCAACAAATTTTCAACTTTAATGGACCACCCTACCTGCAGGCTAAAATATGATTTTTCATTTGGAGAAATGTTCAAACTTTAAATTTTGCCTGGTCGTATAATTACAAAATAATGCAAATTTGTAAAATCTGACGTCAAAGTTTAGGGAAATTCGGGTGGGGAACAAGAAAAAGGCGAGCAGGAAACGGGAAATGGCTTTCAATTGATATTTTACTTAACATCTACATTTAATGATATATTTCTAAGGTTTACGTGGTTTCTTCAAACATGTAAAAAGGATTCGAAGTTAATTTTGTTTCGGTTCAATTATATTCCGGTTGTCAGCGGTAAATATGATTCAAACGAAGTACTGATAGATTAGCGTGTCTTTTTCTGTTGTGAACATTGAGATTGTATGGGCAGAAATTTTGACATACACAGCCTTCTATGAACCCCTCCGAAATAGTTGCTGCAAGGGCACTTTAAATGCAAAGTGCACAACATTTGCAGAACAACGATCTTCTCACTGTTCCTCCCTGGGTTTAAACATTCCGCATAGTCAAAGCTGTATTCACCCTCTATGAGTTCTACTGTAAATTCCGACTTTACATATTTTGATCAGACATCGTTTTCATCGTCGTCTTCTTCAGAAATTGCTTGGTGAGTAAGATGATTCCTAAATCTCTACGACCCTCCACACGATCAACTAGTGCTACAAGCCGAAATGTGTGTGTTGCATACACATCATTTATTTCAAGCTCTTGACCCTTGCATGTACAAATAAGGCCTTGAAGGGAATCTGATGACATAGGTTCCCTTGGTTCAATACTTTTTATACTGTTTGTGACTCTGCATCATTTGAGAAATTCGTTAAATAAAGGAACTATGAAATTCTCATAGGGCAGTGTTAATTCTGGAACACCACGATTAAACTGTTCACAAATAAGAATCTGTTTACTATATTTCGAGAATAAACTCCAGAGTCAACACATAAGTCATTTAGACAAGCTGAATTCAATTTAAATTTCTTACCAATATTTGCTATAAAAAAGATAAAAACCCACGACATCCTCATATTCTTATAATGTTGGAGTGCAAAACGTCTGCCATAGACAATATTTCTTATTTGGCATCAGCATACAATTGCAGGTCAAACATTTGCACAGCATTTTTCTAAACATATCCAAACATTGTTTCATAGTGGTATGTTTAGGTGTATATGACCGGAGCATAGGCTAGAAATGTAATAATAAATTTGAATTCTAATAACTTTTTGTAAAAGCTGTTCTTAATTTGGAAAATATTGTTAGTGTTTTCAACAGAAATGGGTGGTGGGTCTAAGTTTGTCTTGCAATAAGTCGGATAAATATCCAAGACATGTCAGATGTACAATGTATCTATTTTTTCCTTAAAACAAAACTTGATCACCCCGTAGGAAAACAAGGTCAGTATAGTTTTTTTCCCTTGTTGATTGATAAGCATGCCATAGTAAATTTGATATTAAAAATCAAACGTCAAAGATCTTTCTAATTCAAGTTTATTCTATAAAAATAATATGACCACCTTCTTCAAATGCAGCAATACCATTAGGACATTATTACCTGTTTGGATTTTGGCTATTTCCATATTTTCTAAGCTAGTGAGAAATCTTTGTACTTCCGAGTATAATGTACTAAAGCCATAGAAATGTAGATTGTCATTCATAATTTTTTATCCAATCCCATGGTACAGTAATGTCGACTCAAAATTAAATGGGGTACAAATACAGTTGAAAATTTGTATAATTCAGTGTTTGTCGTTTGGTGCTGTAAATGATTTTTATTTTTCGTTTCTTGATTTGTACATACATCAGACCGTTAGTTTTCTCGTTCATATTGTTTATATTGTTTTACTTTTGTCCTTTCATGGCCTTCGATAGTTTACTATGTGGTATGGGTTTTGCTCCTTTTTTAAGGCTATTCAGTGACCTCCAGTTGTTCAGTTCTGCGTCATTTGGTCTTTGTAAGAGAGTTTTCTCATTGGCAATCATAACACATCCTTTAATTTTTATATTCAACTAATAGATTCAAAATCTAAGGTCAATAATGGTAAAATCATATGATTAAGTGTATGGTTGTTTATAAAGTGACATAGTTTAATCTAACTCAAGAAGGGTACCCTTGATTTAAATTTAAAGCCTGACTGATTTATATATAAGTTTTATGATAAAGTTCAGAACTAAGTACAAAGTGACCAACAATCAGATAACCTGTCCTTAGGATATCATGTTTCAATCACTGATATACAAGGTGACTGAGTGTCACTTGTGGTATGTTGTGATACAATGTGACTGAGTGTCAAGTCACTGGTGGCATGTTTTACGGTCTCAGATCTTTATATTCCAAAATCCGTAGTTGGTTGACATATAATGATGTGACTGTGTGTCAGATCGCTTGTGGCATGTTTTACAGTCTTACAGCCAAGGCTCCGTGTTGAAGACCGTACTTTGTATCAGGTCACTGATTGCATGTTTCGTGGTCTAAGTTCTTTACGAGAACAATTGTCTTTTCAGTAAATTTGCCGAGTTTGTCCTATTACCGATTGTGACAATTCGGCTGAATGTTTGTTTGCATCTAAGGCGATGCCAGCATAGCATGAGACGTTTACCATGTTGACGCATAAATATTGCTACTTTTGGTGTTCATGCGTCACCCCTAGTTTTGATTTTTACCTTGGATTGTAACTTCTAAATTGATTTATGAAACTTCAACATCAGTAAGCTACAATTGCTTCTATGGTTGTATGAAGATATATAAACTTATCTTGTCTGTATTTAAAAAACGGAACGTTTTGGATAAAAATTACTTATCTAAAAGCAGTTGAGGTTTGATTTACTTATTGGGCGTCAGGAAATGCTGTGATCTTATTTGTAACCGAACTATACAATATAAGTAATTTTATCAAACGACAAAGCTGGAAACAGTGATGAAGTCTAAAATAAGACATAGTTCTACAATCAATAAGAATAGCAGTCCATGATTACAACCAATAAGTAAACATTGTAAAGATAGCGTAGACGGTAAGAAATAAAGAATGCCGATAAACACATTACAAAAAAAAAATAATTATTGTACTGAAATAGACTGAAAACCATCTTCATTAAAATGTCTGTTTTAGTCTATTGTAAACGAAACGCGCGTCTGACGCAAATACAAAATTTCAATCTTGGTATCTATGATTTGTTTATTTACAACCACTGGGTCGATGACACTGCTGGTAGAGTTTTTATTCCCCGAGGGTATCACCAGCCCAGTAGTCAGCACTTCTGTGTTGACACGAATTATCATTGATATGGTCATAATTATAAGTTAACTGTCTACAAATATTTGAATTACTAAGGCTTTTCTACCTCAGGAATAGATTACCCTAGCTGTATTTGGCAAAACCTTTTAGGAATTGTTTGTTCTCAATGCTCTACAGCCTCGTACTTTATTTGGCCTTTTTAAATTTTTTGATTCTAGCGTCACTGATGAGTCTTTTATAGACGAAACGCGCGTCTAACGCAAATACAAAATTTCAATCCTGGTATCTATGATGAGTTTATTTAAAGTTAATGTCATAATTTTTTTTTTTTTTTATTTATTTTATTAATTTGAGATGTAAATGAAAAAAGATTAAACAGATTGTTAAGTTCAACTTTAGACAGTGACGACAGATAGACCCTCACCCTTATAAATAACGAGATAAATACCCGTCTAGACGTGCTTCGCTGCTTACAATGACTTGAGTTACATCAGTCTTTTGTAGAAGAAATGCGCTTCTGGCGTCGAAATGTTAATCCTGGCATCTATGATGAGCTAATTATCTTTAGTAATTTAATTATAAAAAACTGAATGTACAATTTCCAAATATAAACATTTACTAAAAGTTACATTGATGTAGAATTCGACGTAATGAAATGATTGTTTTCACCGAATTTGTGCTGCTCATTCTTTTATTGTCCGCGTAGTGTTTTGTTGATCTCTTTTTTTGTTTCTCTCTTCTTCTTTTTTGTCATTGCCTGGTCTATTCTTTGTCAAGTTGCGATTATGAATTTATCTGTTTTGCAACTCTTTCTTGAATTTTATTGTTAACATGGTTAATATTCGTTACTTTGATTCAAATTCTTAAAATTTGATCTTTTAAATATGATGGCAAGAGACAAATATATATGCTCAAAATCATAATTTTGTGGTAATTTGATAAAGTGAAAGTTATTCATATTTTATTATGCTGTTTCATTTTGCTTATTTTGTAAGTAAGTTTTAGAAATTAAGTAAATACACCTGACTGTTAATCTATATTTATGCTTGAATCAGTAAAGTCAGTGTTTCCCGACCATGTTAAACTCGGGATTTTATCTTTGAAAGGTTACATGCATGTGAAGAGGTTAAGGTTATTAGGTATAGTATGTCATAGCTTACAAGCAATTGACAGGTAGGATTGTACCGCAGCAAAAGATGATGTGTGGTGTATATCGGAGATGTCGTAAGATTTATTGACTTAATTATTTTAATACATGTAATTTGTTTAAAACAAAACCATATTTTTAGAAAATAACATCAAACATTGTTGGCTCTTATCTTGATTTATCATTTCTTATTCCTTTCAAATTGAATCTAAATTGTTTATAACGTCAGAAGTCCCATAGTTTGTAT